TGGCTTCACTACAATCCAATGCTATTGGGAAGGCCGTGGAGAGAAAAAGAATGTAAGGTCTCAATCACGTGTCATCCCTCAGGCTGTAAACGAGGAGGACCCAGTCTGGGTCGAGTAGCATTTTGCAGACAAATAAATCAGTGTACTTTCTGTGTTATATACCCATTAGTTTAATTAAACATTAAATGCATTTCCACAATATCACATGCATATCACTTCCTGTAGTAATGCTTGTTACCAGGCAGAAGGGTTTTCATGCCTCTGCCAACCCTCTTTTCTGTTGTTTATCCGTCTCCACCGCTCACCTTTGGGCTGTTAATGAAGCGCAGAGATTCTATCGTTATGCCGGAAAGCTTTATACTTTTAACGATGTGCTGATTTATCCATCTCACCTCTGTGTCCTGCCCCGGGAGACTCTTCATTAGGACTAAAGCACTTTCCCACAGGCCTGCCTCTACTTTCATGAAGACACTCTAACGTTGGAACAGTTCGAGAGAGGTTGAGTGTGGATGAGTTTCAGATGTGAAATGTGACCACCGGAGAGTCGACGACTCGCCGATTTCCCGCTGGCTCGGGCCGGATTTATTTATGCATGGGAAGAATGTAACCCTGCGGTCACCATGGGCTCTACGGTATTTCTCCTCTCTTTTTCTCAGCACGTCCTCCACGTTGCCGGGGTTGAACAATGAGCATCACCGCAGAATGCCCATCCAGTACTGGACATCGCAAGCATTTCTACCAACCAAGTAGTCCGGAGTCAGGGGCTGTGTGTTAATCACAATGTCACAAGTAACACGTAAGAGCGAAAACCTGATACAGAAAGGAGGCTGAGAATGACAGATTGGAGGGATTTAGATATTTGCCGTTTGTTATCTTTTATTTTCCCCCATCTGCCAGCCTCTCTATCTTCCTCCATCTCTCTCCGGTCCATCCACTGCGCTTGTAAAAGCCCTCAGCCCTCCGATTTGATGAAAAGAGTGATGTGTGCTGGAGACGGAGTGGTAAATAAATGGTGCTAGTTCAGTGCTTGTACCGAAGCGGGAGCAGATCCTGTACACGTTGCGGGCAGACGGGATGGATGAGCATCACTTTTTGACGTGCCCGAGCAAGGCTTTGGTGCGTTTCTGGATTTGTGTGTGCGCGCGACCGTGTCTGCAGAGGTGCGTATCCTGTTCTGCACGAAAGCCAGAGGAAGCTGCTAGAGGAAGGCAGATGGCTCAGAGACCACAGTCATTAGGTGTTTGTCTGAGTGTGAAAGAGAAGAGTCTTCAGCATGTTCACATAGACCATGGATGAGTGTGTGTGTGTGTGTGTGTGTGTGTGTGTGTCCTGTCCTACTAGCCCTTCAGCTAATCTATTTTAATTTACCAGCCTGTTACTTTGGCTTTTTTTGGAGCCAACGGTGAAGCTACTTGAACCAAATGAGTGCCGTGCACTGTGCCACTCAATCACTCCAACTTTGCTTCTTACAAAGTTTTCACACACAGCAGACGCACAAAGCCCCCCCCCCCTCTTTTCCCAGACGCTAATTGAGCCTTCGTCTCGATGGCAGGAGTTGACACAGTCTTCCTCTGCTTTGAAAAGCAACCTGCTTCTCCTCCCCTCTCGCCTCATTTAGGGATGATCTTACGTCTCCCGAGCATTTCGTGCATGTGCTTGTGGGTTCGTACGGCCTACGCTGGGTGTGTGCGCGTGGTCGTCCCTCCAGAAGACGTTTTGTGAGCCACAGTTTGTGTGTAATGTGCAAAGCGGGACTTACCAAGTTACCGGTAACGTTATTATGTCTTTATTTACTGATTTTTGTGACATTAATGCCGTCCTTAAGTAACTACTACTAATTAGGTACTAGTTGTATTATGGTAATCTTGCATTCTATATTCCATTGGCTGGTAAACTGGTAAAGAGTTTGTTTTCTTTGCTGGAACTGAGAATATCTTTGCTGGTTAAAGTTTCCTTACATATTTGATTTATTATGCACTAACACGTCAGGTTGCTGATGTTGAGATGTTGTGGAGGTCGCTGTTTACCGACCCGTCAGTGGGTGCGCCGGTTCCTGCAGCCTCCACCCATGTTGTTATGTTGTTGAGCTTTTTCGGCGCCGATGCTTGACGAGCTCCGTGGTTCTGTATGACGAGCTGCCTTGAACCGGCGAACTCGACGTGTCACTTTTTTGAAGCCTCGTACATGCTTTGCAGTATAATTTTTCATCCGGCTCAAAGATACTTTTACATTCAAAGACGCCACAATTTTTTATTTTTTTTGTCTCCCGTTCAAATTCATGTGGTTCTTGGTCAGCTTGCACATTTGTTTGTGATGTTGATTCAAACCCCATCGTCAAGCAACTTTCCTGCACGATTGGCCTCATTAGAACAACATCAGGAAACAGAAACACATTTCCATTATGCAGGCGGTGGTGCAGGTGATTATTCAGTGAAGGTTTGTCACTATTAACTACCTCTTTCCATGTGATTTAAAACTTGTAAGGGCAATTTACTTGTTATGAAGTATGTCGTCACTATTTACCTTACTTAAGTGATCAGAACCCTTGACGTTCGCTTACATACACTCGTACACACACGTATTTCAATAATCGCATCACGTTTGCAGTCTGTAATAGATCATGTGGGCTGTCCTTAGCCAAGCCAAGGTCACAAGCACACCGACAGCTCATCTCCCCTATGAATTGTAATTCTGCCTAACAAACTGACAGCTAACAGGCCAAAAGGTGAACATGAAATTACTACGACAGCAACTTGCCAACAGTGCTCGACCTGGCAAGTGCTTTCAGGAAAGACTTTGGGTGCTGAGTTTAAGCTCCTCGGCTCAACAGCGAGAAATTTCACTACGGATAAAGGAATTAGTTTAAAGGCCCACTGAATTTCCCTCCATTCTCATCCCCCTTTATTGTACAGTACACTTTTTTGTCCTGAATCTTTCATTTAAAAAATGAAATTTTCTTAAGTCGCTTCAGTCGACTCCCAGACTAAGACTCCAGGCAGTACGAGTTGAAGCAAATGTGGATTTGCAGATTACTGTATATTACAAAAATACGGTTATGAAAGGCGCAGTCTTAAGAGTGCGAGCACACTTTACAACAAAGGTTGAACATGGCTGACATGAGAGAATGTGCCTTTGGAGATGAAGTGTGTGTGTGTGTGTGTGCGTGTGTGTGTCAACAAGGCTGCCTGCAAGGGTCTCCAACTGGTCTCCAGTTTGCTGAGTGTGCACCCAGTAGGCCCAGAAATATGAGGAGCATGCAGAATGTTACTGAAATTTCTAGCTCCCCCTCCGAGGAGAACCTATTGATGGGATTCATGTTTCAGCACATGGTTACAACCGGTGTCTTGTGCTCTTGCTGTTGCTGCCTCTTTGAAAATAAGTTCAAGATCTTTCAAGCGGCAGCTACAGCGGCATCCTCCCCACCTGCCAGTTCCACCCACACATATTTTGGAGGAGCAGGCTTGGCATGATCTCCAACGGGAAATGCCACAGAGTTTGAAAACCCTGCTTTTTTAATGTCAACAACCTTGTAGCCGTGTCTGAATCTGGCAATCTCGCAGTGTGTTCGGGCATCCAAATTACCGGTTTGAGATGTGGATATAGAGGCACAAACGTCAGCCCGTGCGTTTCTGTTGTACCTCTCAGGCACAGAAATGACTCTCCTTTCTTCTAGGGGAAGTCAAAGAAAACAAGACATCATCTTAAGGAGCACTCTCGAGGCTTTTCAGTCATGCTTTTATACCAGGACACAGGTTGTACTCGTATTACAAAGAATATCTCAGATATGGCGCCATACGTCTCGGCCCACATAATACAGGAGTTTTCAAATAGAACCTTGTAACTTCTGACCTCAGAAGAACACGGAAGGAGAAACGGAGCGTCGTTCTGTCTTTAATTTGAGCCTAGAGGGGATAAAAGAAGGATTTTGAAATTGCTTCTGTGCTATTGTAGAGGATTGGAAGGAAGCTTCTGGTCAAATGGTATTTCTGTAAAAAAAGAAATCCTGGCCATGAGTTTTAAACTCGCTCGGGCAGAAGTCTGTTGAGCCTCCAGGAGCAGCGGCAGCAGATCGAGCCCGCTGTTGAAGCACAATGTCTCACCTCAGGTTTTGTTTCCATACAAAATATGAATGTTTCAAGATGTGTCGTTCAGTTAGTAAAAAAATCGGTGGTGCTGAAGCCGTAAACTGTGCCGAGGTGTCTCCCTTACTTGTGGTGTGATGTATCCCGCAATAAAGAATGCATGACTCCCACCGGAGATGGTAATAGCTCCAAATGACCTTGACAGAAGAAACATCCTGGTTGTGAAATCTCTACCTCTTAATTAAATCATCCAGTGTCTTGTTGGTTCCATGTAAAACACTTAGTGACAGACCTGTCTGTGCCAAGTAAGAAAGAACCCTGGGTGAATATATTGGGCGTGATATGATTGGACGCCTCACTCTCTCTCTCTCTCTCTCTCCATGGGCGTGCTCTGTCTAATAGCTGGTGATCTAATTATGTTTCCATCAGTGAGCGGCCTAATGATTGATTCACTGAGGCGGAAGGCGTTATGTGCTAGTCAGATAAACCTCCCTGTCAAATACCAGGTTTGGTTAGATTGGAAATGTATCCAACTAGTTTTCTCCTTGTTTAAAATGACGTTTATCCCGTAGTACTTTTCTTCTTCTAAAGATGTTGCAGCCTTTTGTGAAACCATGTGAACAGGCGTTTATTCCCATCAGGTGTGTGCTTAATCTTATGAGTAAATTTATAAGATATATAAATAATTTGTAATCCAATTTTCGTGGCATTTCTCAAGTTTGTGTGCTGTTACCAAAGGCGTTGTGCATTGATGCTTTTTCCCTGTTTCCCTGCCAAAGAAGTCTCTCTATTGTCTGCAATAAACCTCAGCACTTCTGCCAGTACCTTCACACGTCCTAATGGGCCCGCCTGTCTTGCCAGGGAGTCTAACCAGTGTGTGTGTGTGTGTGTGTGTGTTTTCTCTGTATTTCCCTGCAGGCTTTGAGCTGCTGTATCAGCCTGAAGTTGTGAGGCTCTACCTATCTCTGCTGACGGAGAGCCAGAACTACAACACCCTGGAGGCCGCCGCCGGGGCTCTGCAGAACCTCAGCGCTGGACAGTGGACCGTGAGTCCAGGGTTTGGGAGGCTGAGACACGTAGACACTTAAGTCCTCGTCCTCGCCATTGACCTTTTCAGTGGCGGTAAACCTTCGGATTTGTGATTGGAGGACAAATAGAGAGCCTGATGGGCTCGAGAGGGAGCAGAGGCGCTTTCACAAGGTGCAGATGCTCTGTCTCCACAAAAAAAAAAAAACTATTTAGACTTTTAAATGTAGCTCAACATTTTGAACCATCCGTCAAAGTGGGATTACTTAGACCGGCCTTTCCTCTCCGAAAGATGTTTGCCTCTGTTGATGGATGATGTGAGAACCTATACTGCCAGGATCAGCCATTCATACCAATTAGGTACGGCTCCAATCAGAGCCAATTAGAGCCAGCGGGTGGCTGCTGTGAGGCCGTCCGGCTTGCAGGCAGCAGTGAGTCATAAACAGGGAAGGATAGTTGTCAGTCGCCAGTTTACAAGCAGTCACGCACGTTTTTTTCAGTTCAGGTGAGCTTTTTGAGGAGAAACCCTTCTATCTTTTTGCCGTACTTCTTTTTTTTTTTTTTTTTTTCCCGTCGGAGCTGTGCAAGTGAACCTGTGGAGCAGCTAACCCATCACAGTGTCTCATCTGGACCAAGCCTCCCCCTGCTCCCCGGGAGGATACCGGAGCCGCTTCTTTAAATCCTCCCCACTCTTTGCTACTGTCCTGTCCTGACCTGCTCCTTAAAGCGTACTACTGCCACCTGGTGGTGCGGGTGTGCCCGTCCTCCCCTTAATTACGTCTCTCGGGGTATCAGTGCTTACAAGATGAACCCTTTTATGTCAAACTCAATGTTTTATGTTACACAAAAAAAAATGAGACGTCAAATCTACTGATGTTTGAATTAGAACAAATTATAACACACGTCCATCCAGAGACCCACCGAGGAGCAGTGCTGAGCTGTCTGAACGATTGGGCGTCTTTGCATGTATGAGTTGTGCGTGAGCATGAAGGCATGCATCAAATATGTCCTAAGGGAGGGTGGCCTAGTGGAGCTGCGTCAAAATAAAAAAGAAGATCGTACTGGGGGGCGGCTTCCGTGGGCGGGACCCTGCGCGACTGCAGTCTACAGACTACAGGCGGTGTGTGTGCGCTCACCCAGTCCCTTCCCTGCCGGTTGAAATGGTAATGAGCAGTCACTCAGCGCTCTCTGTCTGTCCCCCGTCCCCCCTCTCCAGTGGTCCAACTACATTCGAGCCACGGTGCGTAAGGAGAAGGGTCTTCCCATCCTGGTGGAGTTGCTGCGCTCTGACTCCGACAAGGTGGTCCGAGCCGTGTCCATCGCCCTGCGCAATCTGTCCATCGACCGCCGCAACAAGGACCTGATCGGTACAAACCATCGGCCACGCTACACACGCGGATTTAACGCCCCAATGAACTCAAATACACATTTTAGTGGAGCATTGTTCTTTGTGCCACAATGAAAACTAACCAGGTTTTGAAAGGTTTTCTGTTTTTGTGCCTTTTAAACGTGAACACCAGCGTTTTCACCTGTTGACCTTAAAAAAACAACTTACCTCACAGGGAGTTATGCCATGCGGGACTTGGTGAGCAACCTGCCAAGCGGCCAGCAGCGGCCCGCCAAGAACCTGGAGGAGGACACCGTGGTCGCCATCCTCAACACGATCCACGAGATCGTAACGGACAGCTCTGAGAACGCGCGCTCCCTCGCCCAGGCTCAGGCCATTGAGAAGCTGGTCGCCATCAACAGGACTAGGTAAGACTTTACATCACATAATAATGCCACTTAGCAGCTTGTAAACTAGCAGAGCGCATTATTCAGACTGATTTATGGTTGGGCTACTTTTTACACATAGGCAGTCCAGAAAGGAATATGCACAATTATAGCCTCAACACTCCTTTTTATCACTAAATAGTCTGCTTAAAAAATGCATAATTCACCCAAAGATACTCATCTTATCAGTCTTATGTTGTAGGTCAGATTCTTTTTATTGCAGACAGGGAACAAAACACTAGCGGTACATTCGTAGATATGGGAACCACGGCAGAACGGTGTATATACATATAAATAAATATGTGATGCGAAACATTATACATGTCATAATTAAACAATGACCTTGAATGAATTTTGCTTCTTGATCCTTTATATTAGCATTCATGGAGGATAACATGATATGTCTCTAATGGCCCGAGCTTAGCTGACAAGCCTCATCCTACACACACACACACACACACACACACACACACACACACACACACACACACACACACACACATGAACTAACAGGCTTTCAGAAGTGGAGGCCGGTATTATGTGGGAGCATCTGAAGCGTCTGCTCATACAGGTACGAGTGTAGCGGTCTCTCTACATAATGGCCGAGCTCGCCGCAGCAAGCGGGTAATGAAGACTAAAAGGTATTTTAAAGACATGTCACATATTTCCACAGTGTTAATGATTTCAAACTGAAGAGCTTCAGCGCCCCCACTTTTCATTTAAGACCAAGGGCACTTCTCAAAGGCTCGCCCGTGCGCGGCATCGATCACACCAAGAGTCGCTGCAACTAGCCCCCCCAATGTGCATTGTTAACTCACAGGCCGACACACTTGAGAATAGCTTTCCTTGAAGTGAGGCCCCGACCCACGTGTAATTAATACTGGTAGCGGAGAGGTAGCTAATGAAGGGAAATGTGCACTCATCTGGCTGTGAATTAAAAACTAGAGACCCCGGAGCCGCTCAGGCAATACGCCGCCTTTTTAATGAAGAGATTGATTCGCATGCTCGCACACACAGCCGTCACCGTTTGGGGCTTAGATTGTATTTTCTGACTTTAGCCGCTGTATTACCTCTTCTTATATTTCTCCCTTCCTGAACCCCCTCAGCCAATCGGCTCGCGAAACCAAGGCGGCGTCCCACGTGCTGCAGACGGTCTGGAGTTACAAGGAGCTGAGGAACGCTTTGACCAAGGACGGCTGGAACAAAAGCCACTTCCAGGTACCGAGCGGTGCCTTCTACATTTGTCACTTAGCTGACGCTTTTATCCAAAGCGACTCGCAGTAAGTGCATTCAAACAAGGGTACAGAAAAAAGACAAGTTCAATTTCTTTCTGGGTTGCTTGGGTGGGTGCTATGCTTTATATATAATCTGGATCCTACTGTGGGTTTAATATCAGGTGTTTAAAAAATATTACATAATCAATTGCAGATTATAATTATTATAACTTAAGTAGCATCATTAGCAACTTTTGGTTGAATTAAATAATTAGAGATGAAGCCAGTGAGTACCTTTTTCATGTCAGCAGCTATGAGCCACGGTATTTTAAATGTTTGCATCCCCCTTCTTCTCTCAGACCACGATGGCTACCACCCCGAAAGCAACCAAGAACGGCAAGCCAGGCTACGACGACACCACCCTGCCCCTGATGGAGAAGAACCAAGGTCAGTCACAGTGTGTGTGTGTGTGTGTGTGTGTGTGTGTGTGTGTGTCTGTGTGTGTGTGTGTGTGTGTGTGTGTGTGTGTGTGTGTGTGTGTGTGTGTGTGTGTGTTTGTGATTCATGCCTTTATTTGCCTGTTCAGAGGAGCAAGTAGGTTGAATAAAGATCTCAGGTCTCCTCAGCAGAACCACCGTATCGCTGTATTCACAATGAACTAATCGAAAGGAAGCCAGCCATATTCTAGATTTCCAAATCCTGTGAAAAGACAGAATAGATTATTCTTTGGTCCGGCTCTCAATGATTTGTGGCATCCATCACGAAGCCCATCTGTTCCAGTTTAAGAAAAACACCATTTAAAACAATTTTGGATCCCTCCTAAATGTTTGCTATGACAGCAGTGCTCTAAGAATTGGACCAACTGAATGTGTCACTCTGAGAAGTTTTTGCCAGGTGGCCTGCTTTTTCTTTTTTTTTGCTGCTCACATGCTCAGTAAATCTCAGCTGGAATACGTGAGGCTGCGTTTTGAAAGACAGTTAAGTGGACCCGGGTCTTATTGCACTTGTGAATACTTCACCTGGTTTGTTTGAAACATGACACGAGTGCTAGAAAGTTTAGAGAAGCACGGGCAAAGAATGTGCTGTTTAGTCTACACGCTTCCTGTGTCCCGGTGCACGAAACCGCTGACTCGGTCCCTCCGCACAAGGTTAAAACAACCGCGCAACGGATCTGTCTCCTTCTATTTTTGGTCGATGGATGGAGAAGAATTAACCGACCGTTGTTCTCCCACCCCCTGTCAGATGGTTACTCCACCATTGACCAGAGGGACAAGGACTGCAAATACAAGACAGTGGACGGCTCGGTGGACCAGACGGAACGGGAGCCATTAAAGGTACAGGCTCATCTCCTCCCGGGGGGGGGGGGGGGGCCCGGGAAGAAAAAACGGGGTCGCGTTGAAACGCCCCCCAGTTCCGGGGCCCCGCCTTTGCCTTTCGCTACACGTTTCCTGAAGGTGGTCCTCATTAAAGGCTCTTAATCCCATCGATTCTTTAAAGAGGCCGGGAGTTGTGGTCCTCTGTTGGCGGCTCGACGCCGCGGACGGCTTCTGATCTGACGAGCCGGCAGTTAATTTGAGTGTAAGCTTTCGGCGCCTGTAAAGTAATTAATCTGAGAGTGATTAAAAGAACCGCCAACAAACGGTCCTCTGGGAGACGACCCATCGCCGCGGCAACGACAGAGCGGCAACACTATCGAGTGGGCGTCTGCAGTCGCCTCACGCTGCTGCGGCTGAAGTGAGTTTCTTGTTGCACTGATTGGCCGCCCGGCTTCAAAGAGGAGTCACAGGATAATGGGTACACGTCGGATGACTCTCTAGTACGTTTTGTAGTTCATTTTGCATCTCATTTACTGCTGGATGAAAAGGTTTTCCCCCCCGTGGGATTGTAAGATGAACGCAATACAGAGTCCAGTGAAGCAAGTTTAGCATAAGTCTTTTATATAGCTTCTTATATCTGCTTCCCTCGCAGGTTAAAGTCTGGAGGGACATTTTTTCTGAAGCACAGTTAATAGTCCAGTGGATAATTTGGGAGTTTGGCTTTTTATCTGAATTATAGCAATTCACATTTTATCTGTCACTGAGGCGGGGTCGACTGAATCCACCAATGATGAGCTTTATAACTTTATGACGTTTCATCTTTTTTTCAAGAGTTATATGGTGTTGTTTAAATTCTAAAAATGGTTCTTCATCTCTCTTGTCGTTCTTTCTGTTGCAGCTCAAATATCAGTGCAGCATTTGACATCTGAGAAGCATCTAAGAAACTGTTTCATGTCATTTATTTTTCTCTAACAGTTAAACCACTGATTTGTTGTGTTTAAAGGGGAACAGCAACGTTCCACTGCACTCAGTGGTCAAAGTTTCCATTTTGTTGCGCCACCGCACCCAACAGTGATGTCAGAGCTCACTGACCTATAGTGCTGCATCACTGCACAAAATTGACAAGTGAAATTGGAGGAAACTATGACTACGGTGTCTGGTGGCTCTTGGTTTTTCCGTTTCAGTGTTTTTTAAATTAAATTTTAAGTGGGGTTTTTTACATTGACATTTTGTCAGCGGAGCTTTTTCCGTCGCTCTCAAATTGTACCCAGTTTAAAAATAAAAAAACTAAATATGGCACCACAAAATACAAACAATGGGTGGCATCAGCAGTCGAAGCGACAGAGAAGCCACAGACAGGAGGAATCAGGGCAAACACACCTTTTAGCATCACTCCAAAGCTGTCTTCTATGTCTGCCTACTGTACTTCTGCCCGCTCGCATTGCAACCTGGCTGTTTAAACTGCTCTCTGCCCCTCTTTCGTTTGCATGTTGCGGTTCACTGTTGTGAATCACTCTGAAATCTTTCCAAGCTCTCCTGAAGGCAGGGGATTATCACTGCCTTCTCTAATCCTGGAGTATCTGTATGCGTGTGTGTATGTGTGTGTTTGAGAGAATTTGTGAAATGTATTGAACTCATGTTGTTTTGCTTTGTTTTTTGTTTTTTAACTCGTCCTCCTGTGGCCACAGAATGACACAAATAGGAAACACTATATCAGGACTAACAGGCCTGCAGTCAGTCTGGTGGACGCTTGTGACGTTAAGCCGCAGCCTGTTGACTCCTGGGTCTAAATGCATGCATGGTAGGTGTGAAACAAAAACAAAAGCACAATAACAATAACCACCTTCCCCTTTTCGTTGGGATTGTAGCATCCTTTTCATTGCCTGTTTGTTCAACCTGTCTGCTTGTGGTGCTTTTAACCTCACGCCGTATGCTGCATGTATGCACCCTGCACCCAGAGCAGCCAGCTGCAGAAGGTACCTTGTTCCTTCCAGGGAAATGAACTAAATGCCCTTGCAGTCATATTGAAAATTAAAAAGGATTTCATTCATTTAAACATTCTGTACGACTTCTTCATATTTCAACACACTTCCATATGTAAATTGAATTTGAATCTTTTCAAACTTCTCTAAAACCAGAAAAACCAGAAGAAAGATTAAAAGAGTTTTAAAAAGGGCTAATTTCACAAACAAAGTGTGCATCCACTATACATTATTTGCGTGGAAGCTGGTCAGTCACAGTATTTATGATCATGGAGGCGGTTACAAAATGAAAAACTACATTTTTGTTGTTGACAGATGATGCACCTCAGCTGTGGGGCAACAGTTTGTTACACAAGTAACAATGAAATACATCTAAATCACAGTATTAAACCTGGACATATTTAATTTGAGGTTTGACTGGATACAACCAACACGACCCGGTGACTTTTACAAAGCAGCAGGCTGATCTGGGTGAGCTTCGGCGGTTTTCATCCTTCCTCTACCAGCACTCTTCATCTCTTCTCCCTCCTCCTCCTCCTCCTCCTACACCGGAGGCCTCTCATCAGATCTCACTGTCTTGCTCATCGACATCTTCCAATCTCAGCCGGCGGCCATCGGTTCAATGCTTTCTTATCCATCCATTGCATTATCATGGGAAACCGGTTACTGTGATTTGTGGTGTTCATTGCAATTTCATCGCTTAAGTTATATAAAAAACTGGTTTATAGGTAATATTGAGATTTAACCATCAGGTAAGTCATCATCACCTCATTGATTTGTTTTGCTGTGTTGCCGCCATTTGATGCTGACACGACTCGGGTGGTTTCTGACTGTGATGCAATTTGTCAAGTACTGTGATGTTGCCAGCTCACTGTCTCACTGTCTGTCATCAAAGCCCTATTGGAGAGTTTCATATCAAATTTGCATCCATTGATGGTAAGATGTGGTTCCTGCTCCAAAAAAAGACGATATTTCAGATTAATTGTTTCAGGAAAAGACCAGGACCAACAATGACTTGATCTTAAGAGTCGTCTGTGTAGCCATCTCTCGTTCCTCTGTGCCATCGAGCATTAGGAATGTGTGGTAACAACTGCAACAAATGAACTACTTATGTTTGAGAAACATTTTAAATATATTGTGGATGATTTGAGATTCAGATTTAGATGTTACAAGGTAACAATGTCACCAATCCAAATATAACGTACACCCGACCTCAGCCCAAATGTAATCTGCATCACCCTCGTCACTGCACTGTAAAGCTGGGTTTCAAACTCCATTCATTTATTTTGGCCATTTGGAGCTCGCTGAGAAACAAGTGGTAAAAAAAAACCTTGTGACGTCACAGTACGTCCTATTGATTTGAAGTCATGTTCCTGAAACTGGCAAATGTAAATCCAATGATAATAAAAATCATTAATAAAAAAGCATGGAATGGACATAATTTGTCACGATGGATGTCTTTATTGTTTCAAAACTCTCCATAAGTTGTAATTCAAGCTGCACGTGTGGTTGATCTAACAGTTTCTCTCTTGTTGTCGCGCTCCAGGCTTAAAGTAAAGACGCCCCAGCTAGAGAAGGATCTCTCATATCATCACTGCCATTTGAAGTGGAGCTCATCTTTGGAGTTGGACTTTGTACAGAAAAGAGGATTTAAAGAGAAACCTATGACGAGGACAGCAACTACCCAGCAGCAGTCAAGATTTTCATGCTTTTCAGAAAAAGTAAAAAAAATAAAAAAAGTGACTATTCCTAATACTTTCTCAAATCTACATTCCCACTGGACTTCATGTGAATTTTACCGTGTTGAGCTCTGCCGGTGACCAGGAGCAGATGAAGGGCCGGTGCAGGTGAAGGACTGGACAGGGGAAGGGCGAAAAACGTGAGGCGGAGGAAATCAATAGAAAAGGAATGTGTGTTAGAAGGAAATTTGGGGGAAGCTTGAATGGATGGTTTCTGCATTTCAGTTTTCACATCTGGATGTGAAACACACCTCTGGATTTTGTACGTTTTGCAGGACTTTTCTGCTAGTTTGTTGTCAGGCTTTGTTAGTTTGATATGAACAGGTGATGTTTGAAGGTCACAGAATGTTGTTTGCACATTGGTGGGATGGACACGAGAAAGTAAAATAAGAGGAGAAGAACTGTACTATAGCGGATAAACACACACACGCAGCCGTCTGCTCTTGTAGACTCACAATGCTTTTGGTCTTTGTTTTTTTTTAAGTGCATTGAGATGCTTAAAAAAAAGAAAAAAAAAAGTTGATTGACAGGTGATGTTCATTTATGAAGTGAGGATTCTTCATGTTGTGGCTCGAAAAGAAAGCAAAGTGACATAGTGTGAACATCACAACGAGTGACCGTTCACAGTGCATCGGTTTAAGCTACAATGGAAATCAAGCGTTTCTGTTCCATCGTGGTCGTCATGGTGACCCTCACTCACTGAGCTGTGGTTACTTACGACCACTCATATTGTGTAGCGATGCAGTTTCATGAGTTTCCTGGGTGGTTGCTCTTTGTCAATGATGTGTATTAAAGAGGATATAAGGCATTTTGTGGATAAATGATTCTTGTTTCGGAATAGAGAGGTGGACGTTTTTCGTAGATCTAAAAGCAGTTTTTATTTTTGTTGGATTTTATAAAAATGTATATTGGGTTCAAAAGGCAGAAAAAAAAGAAAAAAAAAATGGAGGAGAAAAAAACCCAACAAAAATGACAGACGTCTTAGTTGTATATTAATATCACATTGTTTGCAAAGCACATCTCATTTGATAAAGGCTCACCGTGTTTGTAAACAAGAAATAACCACGTAACTTAAATGTGTGTCAAATATTGTTGAGTCACGCCGAAGATCACCTATTTATATTTTGTATTTGTCCAAAAGAATTCACAGAAAAAAGTTTATTTGCAGTGTTCTTTCAAGAGGCCATGAGTTACACGTTGTCAGACAGCCCCTGAATCTTTGAACAAGGAACTCTGGAGAGGTCAGAGGTCACACTAATGACATAATAAGGAGACTGCAGTGTTAATAAAAGTTATTCCTTAAAAGTTATTTTTTCTTTTCAATGCATTTATGCCAAGTTACCGGCAACCCCGAACTCTCCTTCACCGGCGCATCTTTAAAAATATTACGTCGTAAGCATGAAGAACTGTACAGATGTTTATATTCTATTGTTTCCAAGTGCCAGTTTTTTGTGGTGTCATTTGGATATTAACTAATTCAATTAATGTGCAAGAAGAGCGTACGGGAGGGCGAGTGGATCTGGATGTTTAAGGCAAAACAAACGAGTTACATCGCCACTGTACAAAAAACAGAACATCATGTTTGGTCACATAGAATATATTTTTACAACGCGTCGGGGTCGGCAGATGAGATGGCAGAGAAATACAAAATCGTAATGACGTTTTTCTCTTTCTCGGTGAGACTTCGCACTAAGTCCAGTGAACCTAATCTCCTTTCCAGCCTCTGTCTTTCGGAGCAACGGAAATAGAATCCAATTCAAGTTGGCGTCACTCATGCGTCATCAAGGCGAATGGCATGTGCCTGCATTGAAGTCTGATTTTTTTTTCTTTGTGACGTATGTGACTTTATGAAGCTTGCATATTTTACACAGTGTTTACAAAGATGTATGTTGTGGTAAAAATCAATAAACTACAAAAAAACTTAGTGTATAGATTTTAATTTCAAAGGTTTAAAAAAAAAAAAAAAGTGATGACACCCGACATCCCCTTTGTGTGTCCTCAGAAGTGTGTGCTTTCATTTGGACAGCCCTGAACCCCGGCGACTCTTCACTGCACCTCACAGTTCCACAACCAAAGGATTTCCAGTAGTATTTACATGCATTCATAAAGGGGGGGTCGGGGGGTGGTTGGTTTTTGCGGGAAATGCGGGACACGGACAGACATCGAGTCACACAGACGTACCTGTGTAGATAGAACTGATTCCAGAAGGTCAAAGTAAAGTAACTGTACTACTCGGTAGCAGATGTGTTTGTACCTTTCATGTGCCTTAATCTTTTCCATGATAGATAAAGATAAGTGTGTTTTATATAACTTCATTCCTCCCTTTCATCTGTCCATTCTGTCTGTTCACACACCCCCCGCCCCCCTCCTCCCTTTTGCTTTCACTCAAGTCACTCATTCGGTCATCCTGCACCCCCTTTGTCTCCCCCCCTCGCCACCCACAACCCCTGGTAGGATAGACTGTTGGTGGGTTTCTGCATTGTATTACATTTATTATAAACTTTTAAACAGACAGTCATTCAAACAATGATTTTAATTTCCTAGAGGAGTGAAGTTCTTAATGCTTTGGTAGCGAGCAGAAGCGATGCCACAGTGAGAATGTATTGTGTTAATTTTACTAATACCCAAATCACACTTGTTAAACATAACGGAAAATACCAGCTTGTAGAGTATACATTTGGTGTGTTTTCAATAAATCATGCCTGGAATGATATTTTTTTAATGGCTCTGCGTCTGTTTATTTTGTATTTTGTTTTTATTTCAGTATAGTTGTAACAGCAGCCTCTGCAGGCAGCAATGCTCATATCAACCATTACAGGATAGTTAGGGTCAGTTGATCCAAATAACAATATTTATATTTGCATTTATATGCAAGTACTTTTTCAAAAGAGTGCTGATGAAAATTGTTGGAAAAGTGGATTTTCCAAATGTAATGTAGTAGTAGTGTGGAACAACGAATGAAATGAACAAACGAAAAACCTGTAGAAAGTAAGTGAGGAACCAATGATCTTATATTAAAGTATTTTGGCCATTGACCTTTGTACATTTTCTATAAATTATTCAAATTGGAAATATGATGATAAGGTGGTGGTAAGTTCAGGCTACTTGCAGACTGCACTAACATTGTGTAAGCACACATCAGTAAATTGCATACAACCGTGAAATTATTCCATTAAATTGAATGAGATTCAAACTTTTTATCTAACGTGATCAAAGTGTTCACCGTTAATATTTTACAGAATAACAGTTATAATGGCTTTAAGTTTAATTCCCCCGTTGACTGATGGACCCATATCTTATCAGGCAATATACCAGCCAGCACAAACGGGGTCCTTTCATAACAACAACATGGCCGCTCTCTGCAGGGGCAGACACCGGTGGAAAAGGACTAACTGTTTGCATGTTCTGACCAGAAACCTGAGCGGTAACAATGTTTTGTTTAAAACTGTATTTTGTATAGATATGGAGGAAACGAATCGGGTGCGTGTTAATAATTACATTTGTCTCTGTCGTCACACAACTAAGTTACAAACCTGCAGAGCTGATGTAACTGAGGTAACTCTGTTTAACCACCCTGCGGATCTGCCGGTTATTTTATCCCCGTTAACTTAACAGTTAATTATTATCACCCGGTGTCCTCCACCTATCTCTACTCCAATAAGTCGGCTACATTTAAACACTCCGAACTCCCTTTTTCACAACCGTAGAGCTCACAGGTCAGCCGGAGGAGGATGACGTCGCCCTGTAGTGAATGCACGTTAATATGACGTCACATGCCGTTAATTATTTCTCCAATATGCTCGTGCAGGGATCTACGACTACGACCTGGTTGTTATTGGTGGCGGTTCAGGAGGCCTAGCTTGTTCAAAAGAAGGTGAGTTTTTGAGTATCTATGCTTTGCACGCAGATGTGTAATATTAATCAATTGAAAATATATATTTTCAACAACATACTAACAATATATCTGTATGTACAGCAGCACGGTTGGGACAGAAAGCGGCTGTCCTGGATTATGTGGAGCCATCCGTTAAAGGTATTTTTTTCTTAAACTGCTGTCCCAGATAATTACACACATGACAGTTGTTTGATTTAAAGACCGTATTTGCCACTTAACACTTTAACTGTTTTTTTTTCAAACAGGTACCAAGTGGGGTCTTGGTGGTACGTGTGTGAATGTTGGCTGCATTCCCAAGAAGCTCATGCACCAGGCTGCTCTCCTTGGCACCGCCGTCAAAGATGCCAGGAAGTATGGATGGCAGATCTCAGGGCCCATCTGCCACGACTGGTGGGTCAATCCACTTTTTTTAATTATAAATTTAAAGGGAAAGTTACCCTGATCAATTGGATAGATTGCTAAATATTAAGACTAGCTAAACAGCACCATCTGGCGACGTTTTTGCAGTAGGACAGCGATTCAATAGGTGAACGTGAGTCAAGATGAATGCTTAAAACGCGAGGACCTGTAAAGATTTTTTCTAATTAACCCAAGATAACTACATGTGACCACCGGCACCGAATGAAGCATCTTTTCAGGTCAGTTTATAGCGTAAGCTGGGATGTGTTTTGCAGGGCCACCATGGCCGAGGCCATTCAAAACCACGTCAGGTCTCTGAACTGGGGTCACAGAGTTCAGCTGCAGGACAAGTAAGTGACACCAGCTCTGCTCGCTCACTCATTCTCCAGGATAAACCAATTTATTATTTGTGTTTTTCTTTATTTTCGATCCCTTGTATGGGGCGAGCTCTTTTGGCACACGGATGAAGGATGATCGTCAGCCAGTAGATGGTGATTGAGTGACTGGCTCGAGGGCAAACAGGTGTTAACCTCTGTGTTTAGCCCACAATGTTTTCATTCCAGTGAGACAATTAGCTTCAACTCCACAAATTTAGTAATGCTCCTAATAATGTTTTCCTTTACTTTTAATAAACAATATCCCTTGGGAGAACAGCAGAGATGCGTTGTTAACCACAATGCATAGCAGTAATCGTATATGTGTATTCATTGCAAATGTAACAATAAATGAGCACATATGTTAACAAAATGTCCCATTTTTAATTGTTAATGACTGTTAGATTTTTCTTGCAATCAGTAAAGTTCTATTGTTGATGATACTTTTAAATTAAAATGCTTTTTAAAGGAGAACTAAAGCTGAATTGGTGATGCTAGAATGGATTTTCTAGCGAAAAAAATGGCCATAGAAACTTCTGAAACCACGTCCGCATCATAATCCACCTCTGTGCTCTTCAAGTGTATGATGCTGAATTATATATCAATACACGGCATCCCCTGTTCTCATTTTGCTAAAACATACACAACATACGCAGCAACAATTGTTATAAGATCTCTTCTCACTATGCCGCCGGGCCGCTTCTCTAGGCAACAAAGTAATGTTTTTGTTCTCCTGAGTTAACTGCCTTTTGGTGTTGACGACATATATTGGGAATTTGAAGAAAATAAGAGAGAAATGGTGGTGGGGGATTTTGCGCAAATTCACAACAGTTCCTGTATTTGATGTAACGCAACCAGCTGTTCAATCTGTGTTTTGCAGGAAGGTGAAGTATCTGAATGTCAAAGGAAGTCTGGTGGACGAACACACTGTCAGAGGATTAACTAAAGCAGGGAAAGAGGTGGGTTGCTTGCCTACTTATTTATACATTCATTCTCTTTATTCTGTCAGTTCCGGTGATAATTGGTAGGACCAAAATCAAAAATGTAGGTACTTTTAAGAAATGTTGCTTGTTTTTATGTGCATTTTTTTCAAGAATTCTTTTTGGAAATGTTTGTAATTCTCATTTTGTTCACAAGAGGCTGCAGTAACCACCACTTGCTAACTTTTATTTGCACGCTAAATAAAACTAACGGCTAGCAGAAGGAGAGATGTAGGTAATGCAACACAATGGCCAATCAGAAAGAGAAATCAAAAGTAAAGTTGAATAAGGAAAATTTTTTGTTTCTCACCTATCTCTTGTCTCTACTACTTAATTAAAATACGTTCTATGTTCCTTTCTGCTTCTTTTCCTAAACCATTAAACTGTAAAATCTAGACTCGACCCCTGTCTAGCTACTGAGTGTGCTGTTACTTGTTTCGGTGGTCACAGAGAGTTTCCATTATAACTGGAATTCAGAGTACTGTAGAGACCACAATTGTTTGAAAGATATGAACAAAATATATTACTTCCCGTGTCTCTCAAACAGATGATCCTGACAGCCAAGAACATCGTGATCGCCACAGGCGGGCGGCCAAATTACCCCATCGGGGTACGTAATGTTCCCCCCAGGACCAGGCTTTCCTCTGCCAGCACGCGTTGTTCGCTTGACTGGTTTCCAGAGTTATAACCTCTGAAGGGATGTAAAATGTTGTTTGTGCGCTGTGCCACATGAACCGTACATTTGTTAACACACATTAGGTAGCAAGTAAAAGAGTGCTGACTGTTTTTTGTTTTGTTTATAGTGGGTGGATGGTTTGATACTCCTGCTCACACCTTTTTAACTCTTCTTAAAGATCCCAGGAGCAAAGGAGCACGGCATCACCAGTGACGACATCTTCTGGCTGAAAAAGTCGCCCGGGAAAACGTGAGGACGCCCTCCACCTACCGATACGCATTGTAATATTAAATCACACCATTAGTAGGATAGGGTGCTCTCTGGATCTGAGAAAACAACCTGCGTGCAGTCTCATTCAAACCACATTGCTGAAGTTAAAAAAGGTCCTGGTTATTTCTTGTGATTTTCATTTTTTACATTCCTTTTGTAAAGGCCAAAACTGAAGGTCAGCGCAAACATTTAGCTCTCGCCCTTCAACGCGTCCACTGTAAAGTGTGTAGAGTTGTTGGTGCTGTTGGTACACAACGTGCTCCGAGGGGAAACGGAACCTCCAACCTCTGCAGGGTTGCTGCCTTGCTCTAACCCGCCGCGCTGACACGACACGTCCCACGGTCACGCACTGCAATCATTCGTTGGTGACATGCAGCTTGTTTTTCCTCCCTTCCTGTCAGCCTGTCCTCGCCTCGTGATTCCGATTAGCGGCGTGCATCCTGACCCTTTTACAGAACAAGCCCTTTAATCCAACCATTTAGCCCCTGTCATCGCCCGGCTAATTGGTCCTTCCCTGATGCTTCCTCTTGGCACAACGTGCAGACGGTGACTAGCGGTTGCGGGATACCTGGGTTGTGGTTGTTGTTTGCTCCGCGGTGACAGATGATCGGAGATAATTATTCGGATATGTAAGATTCAGATGTATCCAGGCAGCCGGCTCCCAGGGCAGTTTTTAATTGTTTTGTTTCTATATGCCAATTTTGACTGCTTTGGCTTATGATCCATCATTTGTTTTGGGAATTGGGCCGAAATGAAAGACACTGTATTAAAGTTATCAACTTGATAAGAACATCAGTTCATTCTAATGTGTCGATGCTAAAATGTGTGGTGTTCCTCTGTCGCACACGTCTTGTAATATGTGTGCTGTTCAGCTCTCTGCCCACTTGGTGGCAACGCAAAATCATTTATAGAAAACCAACTAACAGCACGCTTTGAAGCCATCCTTAAAACAAGTATCAGTGTAACGTTCCCCCGTTCCAACAAAACGCCGCTGTGCATGAAGCAGAATTACCCACTTGAGCTCAGGAAGTCCTTTTGATGTAGCGGTGTGGTGGTTAGTGAAGTCCTCCGCCTCCCCGCTCTGAGCGCAAACCGCACATTGGGGCTGGAGGTGCTGTTGTGCCGCCGAGCCGCCAGCTGTGCAGGTGGGGGCGAAAAGGCCTTCTCTGCCGGCAGGGCCGGTTGTTGGAGGGCGTCCAGCGGAGTGATGGGTGTCTAATGGGTCTTGGAACACAAACACACCTGAATGACAGATCTGGCCCCGGGGTCCGAAGCCCAGAGCTGGCTGCCTTCATCATGCGCGTACCAGAAGGACTGTGATGCTGTGCTAGGGAGAAGAGATGAATGAGGTTTTTTTATTGTTATTGTTATCACCTGAGTTGGTACCGTGTCGAGAAAATTAGGAACTTAGAAGAAGTGAAAAGAAGTGAAGTGACGTTTGTAAATAGAAAAGAGGATGTTCCAATTTTTTTATGACTTAAGTCTTTAAGACTAAAAACCACAGCAGCAACCGTGTGGGACTGTGAGTAAGTCTCAAGTTGGACTGACACCAGGCCTTTGCAACAAAACCCCACATTGATACTCTGACACACAGGAGAAGCTCCTGAATGCAGTGTTATCCGTGATGGGGCTTCAGACTTCCCAAGGTCAACCGGCTTTTTTTTTGGCAATAGCTCCCCTTTTAATTAAACGGCGATAGCTTTCCCAGCTGGGAGGCTTCCTTTTGATCTTGCGTGTCAGTTTAAATGAAAACTGACAAGATATTTAAGCAAGGAACCAAAAATGGACATTTTTGTGCAGCCAATATGATGAGAATGTTACAGCTACAACAGTGTATGCATAATAATATATTTATGTGTGGTACAATATTATTTTGAAACTATATGGACAAAACAGATACTCACCAAAAAACATTCACGAAACAAAAAAACACAAGGTAACAAGTTGGTCATGTGATTTGACGTGCACAAAGCGCCCCCATGTTTTGGTGGGAATATCTACGGCTTTAAAATCAGACCCACGTCCAATGAGAAAGAACACGAAAATGAGGCAGTTTTTCAGTGATCAAAAGTTTGGATCTGAAGCTCTTCGCTTAATCTTCTCTAAGCCATTTCACAATATGCACTTAAGTGCAGCTGTGCATTACACCGACACGGAGAACAAGGCCAAAAGGCTTTTAGTGCTTTGTGTTAGCGTGGACGAGGGCAGGATGTGCCTCGGGCCGTGCTGTCACAAGGAGGAGGGCCAGGTTGGAGAGGTGAAAACAGGGTTGAGAAGGGCCTCGTCGACGTGAGTGACGGGCATCACTCGGCTGGCTGGCGTGTGGACGTGAGCTCTGTACATGGCACGCTCCATGTGCAGGGATTAGCCTTAACGCCGCAATTAGCCCTCCTCGACACTACAGATAGCAGGGCTGGATTAGAAGTGGGATTCCCCTGGACCCCACACGCACACTCACACACACAAACGCACACTCACAGCACCAACCTTTTAAATGTCTCAGTTTTTTACCTCCTTCTGAAGTTTTGTAATTCACAGCCACTATAATTGTAGTATTTTTAATTAAACATTTTTGACTTGTTTTATTTGGAAAAACACATTCTGCACAATTGATGACACTTGTTTTTTTGCATTGTTTACTTTGCTAATAGAGTCACTTAATTTGTGTTTTGCAGGCTTGTGGTTGGAGCCAGCTGTATCCTTTTGTCATTGCTGGATATAGAACCACTATTAATAAAAACATTGGAACCAGTTTCCAAAAAGAGACAAACGTCAAGGCAAGTTTTCATGCCTGTTAACTTGCACTTTCTTTTGTTGATGAAGAGTGTGCTGACATACATCAAGTGCTACTGTGCATGTGAATCAAGAGAAATGGTGTTGTCCTCAACCCGTCGTGGCTCAGATGTGGCTCTGGAGTGTGCAGGCTTCCTCACCGGCATCGGCTTGGACACCACCGTGATGGTCCGCAGCATCGCCCTCCGGGGCTTTGATCAGGTATTGCTCCCTGAACAACAGTATGAATATTCTGCACAATTGATATATAAAATCTTTTTTGTCACATCTGAAAGTGGGTGTTCTCTTTGGACTCCTGCAGCAAATGGCGGGTCTAATCACAGACTACATGGCGACATATGGGACAAAGTTTTTATGGAAGAGTGTCCCAAAGAGTGTGGACAAACTTTCCTCAGGAGCCCTCCAGGTGACCTGGACCGACACCCGCACAGGGGACGAACACAAGGACACTTACGACTCGGTGTTATGGGCAGTCGGTGAGTCACGTGTTCACCAACAAGCTTGAATACATGTGATAATGTATAATGGAACATTTAAGGAATATGCTGACGAAATCATCATCACTCCACCCTGCAGGTCACAAGGTCACGTTTAAATAGAGAGCAACATCTCGAGGTGGTAGAGGCTCATTGTGTGGCTTCTGGACACTTGAGCAGAGGACAAGCTTGAGACTTGATATTTTGACAAACATTAGACATGGAACCTTACAAAAGTGACTGCTTAAGACTTGACTTGTACTGTGCATGATAGTAGACCAAGACAAATAGATACGACTGTGACAGGCATATCTTCCATGAAGTCACTAAGTTAAATATTTCACTTATTTCAAAAGCAAAGGTTTGACTTCACTCAATTGACTTGAGGCTTGAATTGGACCAAATAAATCTAGCTGATTGAACCTTGATCCGGTAAGTCCTTATTATGAAAGTTTACCAGAGTCTTAGAATCCAGACTTTAAAGTGAATAAACGGACTTTGCAAGCCTGTTAAATTCATAGTGAATACAGCTCAAAATTCTGTGATGAACCCATCGTCCCCTGTTTTTTACAACCTCTCTAGGTACAATGCGTAAATACACCCGTCGTATTCTTCCCCGTGTCTGAACGAAAACATCGGCATGAGGATCCTCCCTGCTACCAAACAATTGGATTGCCGTCCCCCGATAGAGAGCCGTGTCAGCAGGTAGCCCAGGAATCAGGGCAGCAAACAAAGTAATAAAGCCTGAGTGATGGCAACGGGGGGGGGGCGTTAATCACCCACCGCCGGCGAGAGAGGTAGGACCGGGCAGGATGCACCCCGGCACAGGGTCACAGCGTTCCCCTCTTTGTTCTCCCACTCTGGGCCTTCCTGCCCGTGCCAGCCTCTGCGGAAACCAACCCCGCATCTGTCACTGCCGTCCCTGCCCGTGTGGCCCTGCACCCGCCGGCTTGCCCATCTATCCACGCAGCGCTCTACCCTTTTCACTTCTCCTGTTGCACCAGCAGTGAGGGCAACAATTTGGGTGGGGAGGTGGGGTGGAAAGAGAGACTCCTATCGGGATCACCATGCAAATGCTTTTCATAAAAGGTTTTCCAGTGTTGCTTTGTGAGAGGGTCCCCTCATGCGTGTGACAGCGGCGAGGATGTGCGTGACCCTGCTGCTGAGATGACGTTTGTTCTTCCCTCCCGGGGGGCTGCATTCCCACATCATCCCAGTGTTAGTTACTCACTGCTGGTGAGTGATGTATGTACAGTATATATGTCATTCCGACTCACGTGAGATCCGGATGTTACCTATAAATTTGTTCGAGAGTTCCCACAAAGACTCAGTAAAGCGCAGGACATTTTGGGACGTGGCAATTACTACTTAAATTCTAATCCACATTGTATTTAAACCAATTTTTAGCTGCTCTCATAGTGCATTTTACACTTAATGAGCGATAAACGTGCTGCATTAAGTCCATGTCATTTGTTGGTCATCGGCACAACATTAACACTGTATATTAGCACTAGCATCAATGTTGTTGTGGGAGAGCTACTGGCTCAGACCTTGGGTGGAACCCGGCTACGTCCACGGCAGCTTGTGTTCCCATACAGTTCACTGAGAACCAGCGACAGCGTGGCCCCCCGCTCTTTGATGTGTGCATGCAGGAGTTATGAGTACAAGGCCACTTCCCTTTACGGTGACCTTACACTAGGGGCCGGGCAGGGTTGCGGGTCTCGGCGGAGTTATTAAAGGCCAGAGGGGACCGGGGGACAGTATCACCACTGTGTGCCACATCCTCCTCCACGGCCCTGCCTCCCTCCACCTTTCCCCTGCTCCTTCCTGGCCTCCCCTGTCCAGGTGTGCCAGCAGAAATGCGGCAGGAAACAGAACATTTCCACCTTTCCTGTCTACATGTGGACAGTGGGCACATTACTCCCCCCTCTCTGTGGGCGCTACAGTACTGAAGGATGTCATTCGAAAACATTTCCTAGTTCCTTTTTGAAGGACTTTTGACTTTGCCTCAGTTTTATGGGTTACTGATGACATCCCGGAATGTAGCTCTCCCTGTCTGTACGATTGCAATGCAGTGCAATTGGGAAATGTATTTAAAAAGTGGTAGAGAACAGGGTTCTATATTTCTCCTATTAGTGAGATTATATTGCAGGGCCCTGGCTTCGCAGCATGGCGCTATGCTGGCCGGACAGTAGTATGTTAAACATAGCGTAGCTATTTGTGCACGATGACAAACACGTTGCATGTTGCATACAAGCCTAAAGGATGTTGTTGCTTTGAATGCATTGCACCCTTTTGAGATATGAGGGGACGGTCAAATACTCTGACCGTGTATGTAACTGTACATGTGGTTTAATTTAATACTAATCTTCAAATAAGCAACAATCATTTAGGTTTTTTTTATGGAGATTGATTCATTAATTTGTTGTGAGGTCTGCAGGCAAAAAGCTTATAAACTGTAATGCGCTGCGGGCGCTGTGTGGGCAGGATGTGATCCGACTTGATGAACAGCGCTGGTCTTGTTCGCTTCAAGGACCCTGAAGTGAGCTAAAAAGATCGTGGCCGACCCCTCCCACCCCGGACAAAACCTGTTTGTGCCCCTTCCATCTGGCAGGAGGCTGAGGTCCATCAGGACTAAGACCTCCCGCCACATGAACAGTTTCTTCCCGTCGGCAGTCGGGCTCATCAACAGAGCCCGGTCCCCCACAGACTGACTCTGACATTCCACCCGTCACTTTCTTTCACACTGCACACGTCACTTGTCACTTTTCACTCGTCACTTTTGTCACTTTCTGTTCGTGGTGCACTTTATTTTTTAATTTTTAATATTTAAATATTTTTAACTAACTTTTATTCCTTTATTTTAAACTAACCCATAGCCTTATACCGTTTAACCCATAGCATTTTATTTTATTACTCGTGCACTGTTGTATGTCGTCCATTGTCGTACTGAGTGCTTTTACGCACCAACCGCCAAGTCAAATTCCTTGTATGTCTGACATATTATGGCAATAAATGTTCTGATTCCTGAACAAAAACAAACACTCGGTAGTTGTCGCTGCATTTTGATTCAAATGTAGCTTCATTCTGATTTGTGGACAGAATGATATTTGATATCATCTGTTTCCTACTGAGCTTCAAACAGTGTGAAGAGGTAACACAACGAGTCTTCTTCGAAAAAGCACATTTTAGGCGCTTTAAAGTAATGTATAGTAAATTGAGACACACTACACATCTTGTTGAACTAAAGCCATTTAGAAGTGATGATGGTGTTTTAGTTACACAAATAGCAACTGCGCCACACTGTCGATAGAATAAACGCAATGCGTTTCCACTTCCTGTGACATTTGTTCTAAAGATTGCTGGCTCTTTATCAACGTACATCTTAAAATCTTTTTTAGCCTGAAGTGGCGAACACAATCAAGTTTTGGCATCCCATACGATCTATTCGCTAAAAAGAAAACACTCCCCCGCTCTCACTTTGCTCTCCCTTTTGTCTTTGTTCATTTGATTGATCAGATAAGCGTCCAGCTCTCATTTCAACCTGTGGTGGGTTGTTGTGGCTAATTAGCCTAGCCGTCTAGAGGCTTCCTCCTAATGTCACAACAGGCTTTGTTCACAGTCAGATCGGCTTATATGCAGTGCCACAGTGTGTGTGTGTGTGTGTGTGTGTGTGTGTGTCTGCCTGCTTCAACCAAGTCCCTTATCAGCTGGCCCACTGTTGTTGTGTCCTCGCCGTACAATGGAGTCGTGGTCATTGCCACAGTACAGCAGCGACTGGAGCGACAGACAGGAAGGCCAGATATGTAGAGTCTATACTTACCAGTCCGATTGAACCGATAGTTTTCTTTTTAGGCCATTACTGATGTTTTGGTAGTCATTTATATGGACATTAATATTTTCAAAGCAGAAAATTACAACTTATTAATTTCCTCCGGGAGCTTCTATATCATGATCTGGCATTTGTTCTAAATACATCAAGTGATGGTATTTTGACCTTGGAAGTGAATCACCTACCACTCTTTTACCATCTATGGGGATATTCTACATGTATTCTTGCTTTAAAAAAAAAAAAAAGCAAAATTGAGAGAAGAAAAAAAAAAAAAAAAAACAGAAGTACGGATATTTCTTTTTAATTAAAAACAGAAATGTAGCTGAATTCCACAAAAAATGTCCTTGAAATTAGGCCAATGAGAGAATGAGGTCTTGCTGCAGGGAATTGGCTAACTTCCCCTCATTCTCCCTTTTCTGTTCACCCCATCGCTTTAAACCCCCCCATGCTGTGGAACACTAAACTGGAGCCCCCCCCCCCCTCCCGGTCTGAGAAGAGGGGGAGGTCGTTGTTCTTCGGCTCCAGCCAGGAAAAAGGGTCTCGGGGGTTTGTTATTCCTGCTGTCCGATAGCATCTACATGGGCGGCTGTTTATTATGCTACCCGGGCAAGTTGTGTGGAGCAATGGAGAGGCGGCCGGGGGGGGGGGGGGGGGAGTGGTCCTCCTTGCCCCGTCACCATAGAGACTTTGTGTCGACAGCATTAGTCAGCCGTCCCCCAGGAAGTGTCAGAAATCACACCTTTGGGTGTCCCGGGGGGGCCGTGGGATCCCGATTCCCAGCTGCTCATCCGTTTCTCTCTCCCTCTCTCCGCTGGCCACATGTTGCTGTGGTTTCACTGTTGTGTTCATTCTGAATAATGTTTACCCTGATATAACTACACAAACGCAACAAGTCCTCACATTCCACAAGCCGATGGTCTACTTTCTCTTTAGGAATGGCGATGTCATGGCTGTTGCCAATTCTTCGGCCCGGTTTATTTTTCTATTAACGTGTTGTCTCCTGAGTGGTGACGTCGTCTTTTCCCTGCGTTGTTTCCTTCTATCGGACTTAAGGCAGAGCCCCTGAAACCAAAGCGCTGGGCCTGGACCAGCTTGGCGTGCGCCTCAAAAAGGAGACGGGCAAAATCCTTCTGGGCTCTGACGAATCCACCTCGGTGCCAAACATCTTTGCTTTTGGTGACATCGGCGAGGTAGGCGTTGTCAGCACACACCACACCTATGTTATGTTGAGGTGCCACAAACCCCACCGCCATGTGCGCAAAGAGCTTAACGAAAATGTGAAATCCTTTTATTCTCTTTATTTTTGACCTTACTCAAAATGTAGAAGAGAAACAACAAACAACCCCGGTTATGAAACCCAGCCGTAAGCATTCTTTTGAAGGTTGTTTTTAAATGCATTTTACACTCCAGCAAGTACTGGTTGTTAAGTGAAGCCTTCATGTAATCATTGGCATCGCCACTGTGTGTTTTTAGGCTGAACCAGCCGTGTCAATACTAGTTGCACCTGCAGTGTTGTTTTTCACCACGACCAGCTGTGTGCTTCCTTCCTGCCTCCCAGGCTTCATGACACCCACGCTCACTGTCTTTGATTGACAGTTGGCTTTGATGAGTAGTTCTTCACACCAATGTCTGTCAACTTTTCACAGCAACGTTGATTATTATTATTATTTTTTTTTTTAAGCCGGAGGATTGATATCCCAATTTGTTCGGTGCTTTGTTGTGTTCTTTTTCTCTCTCTGAGTGCCAAACATTGCACTACGATGACGCATGTGAGTTGCTGCACCGCGTACATGCGGAGGTGCAGGAATTGTTTTGGACAACAGGATGTGCACTGGTAATTTCACACGTTTAAGTCATGCCTTTAGAATTGCCCCGCAGCCCTACCGTTTCCTGCACCATTCAGGTGTGTGTGTCAAAGACTTACTGTACTTTGGCAGACTTTCGGGACAATAAAGGCAGAGTATTTTTTAATGTTTTTTTTAGACTGTTTACATGTTTTGCACTTCCTGGATATTTAAGTCACTGACTCACGGTCCATCTTTGCACTATTTCTCTACAGTGTAGTCAGAACTGTTGGAAATAGTAAAGGATATGTACGTTTTTAAACTTCAGCCCTGTTTTTTATAGTAAAGTGAACATGTTTTTATGAAGCAGTCTTATAGAGCAAACGTCTTTGAAGTCCACATATTTTAAAGTCATTTAAATTGTGTCTTGTTTTAGGGTCGTCCTGAATTGACCCCAACGGCCGTTAAAGCGGGAAAGCTTCTCGCCCGTCGATTGGCCGGGCTCAGCGCTGAACTCATGAACTACGACAACGTAAGACGCACGCACACACACTCGGATCCTGGTCATTTCCAACCATTTAATGGGCTCTGCTTAGAGACTCATCTCGCACACCCACACATCTTACTTTGCCATTCTAAGTGATGAGTCGTGAAATAAATGTAGCAGAATTTCCCCAAAATGTCATCATTCTTCATCCTGCCATGTTTACTCATATTTATCTCTTCTGCCAGTTTTATTGCAGTTGTTCATTTTGTTATAGATTAACTGTGTATGCACATTGTCAAGAGTGGATTTCTAAGTGACACTAAATATGTATTTACTAAAATATAAATTCATGTGACACATTCAAAGCCTCCTGCGCCGTATTAAAATACAAAGAAAATGTAATCGGTACGCTATAATGCATGAAGTATTTCAACATTATAATACAGAATCTTCTGTGAAACAACTAATTGATGGATTGTGTAATTGTTTCAGCTGAAGCTTGAAGTGATGTGTGTGTCTCTTTGTTGTGTATGTGTCAGGTGCCCACTACTGTGTTCACCCCCCTTGAGTACGCCTGTGTGGGTCTGTCTGAGGAGGACGCTGAGGAGCGGCACGGGAAAGACGGCATAGAGGTATTCACTGTAGGCCGAGTGTAAGCATTTAGTACTTGAAATGCAATATAAGTAGTAATAAGACTCTACAGTATATAGAAGATATTGTGGTGTGAGTATGTCTATGGTGTATTAACTACACACCAGGAAAGCCAGACTACATTAGAGGATATATATATTATTCAGGTAATAGAATAAAGTAAGCAGCAGGGGATCAAATTAAACGTTACATCATATTTTTTGTGTACACGGGTACTTTGCAGGTGGTCTGAAAATGAACTGAACGTATAACATCTCTCTCTGTATTTTTTAATATATATAAATAAATATATAGGGCCGGTTTCGGAGACAAGGCTCAAGCCTAGTCCCAGACTAAAATGCTGTTTGAGCTGGCTTAACTGGCTTGCACAGACGTAGCTTAAAATACTCGTGGATTAAGCCTGTTCTGGATTAAACAAAGCCGATTGCAAAATTGAGCATTAGAGCTACTCCAGGACTAAATTGGACTGAATTGAAGCTTAAACTAATCTGCCAAGGAGGCAGGTTTAACTCCCGCTTAGTAGGCTAGGCTACTGTTTGTGAAACTGAGCTTGGATTGTTTGGGAGCATGGACTATTTGGAATATCTAAATGAGGACCAACATGCACGACAAAGGCCAGCCAGACGAATACTGCTGGATAGGAGTGATCCATTGAATCAGTTTGATGAAATAACTTTTCGAGACCGCTTTCGTATGCACAAGGAAAATGCATTGGAGATAATTACTTTGCTTGAGCCTAGACTTTCCTCTCTGTCTCAAAGAGGAAGGCCTGTGTCCAATCAACTGCAAGTTCTGATCACTTTGAGGTTCTTGGCATGTGGAATCTTTCATCGTGAAACTGGTGATTTGTGTGGTGTCAGTGAACCAACTGTATGTAGAATAGTTCACAAAGTCTGCAGTGCCATTTGTGAACTGAGGAGTCTTTACATCAAGTTCCCTGATGCTGCTGGGCAAGCCAACTATAAAGTGCAATTCTATGAATATGGGCACTTTCCAGGAGTGATTGGCTGTATAGACGGATGTCATGTTCCCATCAAGTGTCCATCAACTCCTGATGCAGAGGAATACAGGAATCGTAAGAACTGTTTTTCAATCAATGTTCAGGGTGTATGCACTCCTAATTTGGAGTTTTCAAACATTGTTGCCCGTTGGAAAGGTGCAACCCATGATTCAAGGATTTTTCTCAACTCTTCATTGTGTGCACAATTTGAGAGTGGACAACATAGTGGACTACTACTTGGTGATAGTGGATATGGTCAGAGTAACTATTCATTCACACCACATCTAAATCCCACAACAGCTGAGCAGCAAAGGTACAACAGAGCTCATATCCGTACTAGAGGGATGATCGAGCGTATGTTTGGAGTATGGAAAACTCGATTCCAGTGCTTACGAAATACGATTCGTTTCAAGCCAAGAAGATGCTGCAAAGTGATCATTGCTACAGCTGTGCTGCACAACTACCTGAAGCAGCATGGCTGTCCTGACCTGCCAATGGAAGATCAGGATGATGCAGATGTGCCCATGGTGGCAGAGGCAGCCAATGACCAGCGAGGACTTGCACACAGAGCTGCTTTCACAGTGCAGCACTTCAGCATTTAAATATGGAATGTATCCATTATGGTATGGTGGTGCTTGCATACTGTTTCTGTACAAAATTACAATAATGTAGCAAAATTAAACTAGTGAACCAAGTCGGGTAAAATGTAGTTTGTGATGATTAATACTCACTCACACGCCAAATGACAATACATTTATTTTTATTTTTCACAATTCCTCATATTCACCATGGCTACTAGTATGCAGAATTCTTTTTTGGAGCATAGCCCTCTCTCCCAATTTCATATCCAGTTCAACCTCTAGAATTCTAATTTTCATTTCATGTTCTTCTTTTAAATATTCAATTTTACGCTCATGAAATTCTCTGGCTAACTTTTCATGCATAGTTATCTTTTTTGGTCTCTGTTGGATGGTAGCAGCTTCATCTCCCAGGGGTGCCATAGCAGATGTGGAGGGTTCAGGCTCGTTGTGAACTGGCTCTTGATTGGTTTCCTCTGGAAAAAAAGACCACTGTTCCAAACTCAAATCAACTAATATGGTCCTGTAACCAATTTACTTCCTAAGGTATATTTACCATTTGTGCTCAGTTCTCCATGTTCACTGTCCAAATGGTCATTGTCTGGTATACCATCCAGAGGTTGCTGGTGCTCTATTATACCAGACAGCAAGTCACCCAATTCATCACATGTGTCCTTTATTGGTGGTCCACCACCTGTAATAAATCGCTCTCTTCTGCTTGCTGCATTCTCTTTTTTTAATCCCAGTTTAATGTTCTTCCATAGAACCTATGAAGGCAGATATCATTCATTAGTTTTCTTTTTTGATGTCACAAAAATAGTAATATGGGAAATCTGAAATACTGGTACTGATAAGGCATAATAAAAATAAGTTTGTCTCCTGATAATTTAGGTCATGGTGGAGAAATGATTGTATATTTCTTTCCCCCTCACATATAGGTATGGATTTTCCTTTGTGCAACATATCTTACTCTACCACCATGTTTAACATGCATATGCCCCTTTAAAATAGGTTACTATCCTTTTAAACAGGATATTCATTCAATGTGAATGCTACAAGCAGCAGGAGTATTGTATTTGGGTAGGCCATAAATAAGCAGGGTATAGGCAACAGGAAACAAACACATATTTTTGTGCCTAATAATGAAGATTAACTCACCTGCAGTTGTTGTACTGTTCTTGTGGTGACATCTTCATTTGCATTGAATTCTTTGCCAATTGCAGTCCAAGCACTTCTTTTCTTATGTTCAATAGCAGCAGTATGGATTTTGCTTTCAATGACTGGATGGTTCGATACAATTAGTTTTAGTAGTGCTTTTTCATGCTCACTATAATTTTTGGAGCGAATTCTCTTTGCCTCTGACATTGTGTTGTCTCAAAATTCACTGCAACAATGGTGTTTCATACTCCATTTCAGGTTTTCATGAGCACAATTGGACCAACAGCCTGTGCTTCCACTTAGTCTAATGAGGCTTGAACCAGGTGTTCTCATTAAGCTTACTCCAGGACTCCATAGTCTCAGACTAACTAAGCCAAATTTATGCCATGTTCATGCAAGCCACTTAAATAGCCAGGATTAACTAGTCTGATTTAGGCCTACTTCAGTCTTGATTTAAGCCCTGTCTCCGAAACCGGCCCATAGTGTATTAACTACACACCAGGAAAGCCAAAATACATTAGATGTATTATATATATATAATATACATATAATACATACATCTATGTATTTTGGCTTTCCTGGTGTGTAGTTAATACACTATGTTCATACTCTCACATAATAGGGAATTGTGTCATCAGAAATAGTACTCTTTCAAATATAACAGTACAACTATACCTGTAACTGGTATTGCGCTCCAGTCGTGACCGTGACTTTGTTGTAATATGTGCTTAGTTTATTTACCCAGAAATGACATGCCTCGCGTGCACAAAGCCGGTCACAAAGCCAGTGTTTATGGCTTTGGTGCTGCCGTCGAACGACAAAAAAAAGAAGTACCGCTGAACAAACATTGACACGCACGTACAGTGCAAACAGCAAGCAGCTCTGTATTTCTTCGCGCTGGCGGACGTGAGCGCCGTGCCAGATGCCGGCCAACACCTGCACAAGGCCGCCGATGAACACTTTGAGCGACGAGCTGGGACTCCTTGCTGTGACTGACAGGCGAGCAGGAGGTCTGATTGAGGCGTGTACGAGGTGATGACAGGCCCGCTGAGATCTGAGGAGGAGCCGGAGCTGAAGCACCCGGCAGCTGCGCGGCCCTCGCAACTTGTGTCGGCACGTTGGCCGCAGAACACGAAACACCGCGCGGCCTTTAGTGAGGAGTTGGACATCAATCCCCATCAGGAGCGGCGCAGGCATCGCTGCTTTTATCGAGATTCCATGTTGCGTGTTTTGAGTTGTGGCTCATAACTCGGTAAATGGAAGAACGCTTGAGCCGTGACCGGATGGCAGCTCAAGTACATTTTTCTTAGGCTCCTGTAGAGTGAGATTAAAAAACGAAAATGAAAGACACATTGAGGTTACCATTTTATTACACTATTTGCAATAGTGGATTAAAGTTAAATCCGCCCCAGATTTTAGATGAGGCCTCCGTTCAGAAAGCTCGGAATGCAAAAAGAAAATGATCACATTGTAAGTAGTCAGCAGGGGAAGTCTACAACAGCTTGTTTTGTCATCCCTGTGAATACTGCAGAATGCAAAATCAACTGCTTGGACTTGAGGGCCAGAATTATATATAGTTTGTCCAGTGAAAGTGATTTTATTTCTGTTTTAGGTCTACCATGCTTTCTACAAGCCTCTGGAATTCATCGTTGCAGAGCGCGATGCCAGCCAGTGTTACTTAAAGGTAAGTTCAAACTGTAGAGGGACTTTTATGATGTGTTTAACATTGTTTCAATTTGAATCATATGAGATGTATTTCTTCTGTATACATATTCATTCATGTTGTCAATTTGGCTCTAACCAAATTGGTGGTTCTTGATTTGATCTTTACCACATAGTCCACCCCTGCTGGCAGTAAGTAACTACAGAAACGCACCTGGCAGCTCCTTATAGCTGCAGATTCTAAAAACATGTCTTTCGGATGGACTGATAGGAGGGCGACTGTGCCTCAATGGAAAGCAGAGCAGAAAAGCGCAATAGAAATTCAATCCATGTCTCATTTACCACAAAATGGAAATCTGAATCTTTATCTTTCTTGCCTGGAAAAACAAATAAAACTGCTTTTAGCAATAAAAGGATGATAAAGCTAGTGATACAATGTAATAACGCTTCCACCTGTTGCCTGTATATTTATCTTTGGAATCACTGTGGTCCTCAGGTGGTGTGTGCGCGGGGCGGAGAGCAGAAGATCCTGGGTTTGCACTTCACTGGCCCAAACGCTGGAGAAGTCGCACAGGGCTTTGCCATGGGCTTCCAGTAAGTTTAATAACTCCTGCATTTAACTTAAGATACGTCTGGTGTTTTTACTGCATCTATGCCCTATGAAACGGTTATCGTGATAATTCTCAACTCATTAGTGACCAAAAGGAAATGTCTACAGTTGCCCATCATGTGAATCCCAACGTGTTTGTGTCTCAGGTGTGGTGCAACATATTCCCACCTGCTGCAGACGGTGGGCATCCACCCAACCTGTGCCGAGGAGGTGGTCAAGGTCAACATCACAAAGCGGTCCGGCTTGGACCCCGCGGTGACCGGCTGTTGAGGTTAAGCACCTCGGTTTCTGAACACTAGTGAGCAGACGGGGTTCCTCCGGGGAAGTTGAACTAAGTTAGCCTGTCTCTCTCCTTCTCCATCTCCTTTTTAATATGGCTCCCAAATGGTTCTCGGCTTCACACTCCTCTCCCCGGGAACACAGTGTCTTCATGGGGTCAGTCGCTAAGGTTCTAACCGGCTGCCCAGGATAGCGTCACTTACGCCTCATGCAATAACCCGAGCTCTGAGCATAGCAATGCTCACGCTGTGAGGGCATCGTGTAAAAGCACAAGGTTTGAGGATCAGGTTAGTGAGAGTTGTGCGTCTTTAAATAAATGTGCTCATTGATCAGAGGTAAGGCCTGAGCTCAGGCTTTTGTTGAACTCATACGAGAACTGGGGACCAAACCCCTTACTTTTCTCTGAATATATATATATATATATATATATATATATATTATATTCTGCAAATATTGTTGTTTCTCTGGCTGTACTTCCTGTCCATTAGTCTTGGAAGTGACACATACCACACACCCCCACAAACCCCTCCTCCCACCCCCCGTGACACTGATGGATGGCCCCAGGGCCGTCGCCGCAACACCGCTCCATTTCCCATGGACACACACAAACAGTCGGTGGGCCGCTTGTCAGTCAGCCGACCGAGACCTGGCCAGGGATCTCCGGCTTGTTTAGGCCCCAGCAGACCCCGGACCCCTTCCTTTTCCTCCACGTCCTTCTCCCTCCAAATGCATGAAAGAACAGAGTGGGACTCGCAAAATAATTTGCTGCCTGGATGCAACGGGGAAACTCTACCTGTTAATAACAGCGCTTTGAGCTTTTACTATGACTGTAATATTCAGCTTCACCCAAAGGTGGCACTATCGCCCCTTCGATTCACCCGTTCTTTCTGAGCCGAGAATGGAAGGTGGGATAAAGTAGTCACCGGATAGAGAATAGGGCTGAATACGTTCGGGTGGCACATTTAATCCCTTTAATCCCTATAAAAGATATGTGCTCTTGGAAGCCGTTTGAATGCAGACTGTCTTTATTGGTGCCAAACTGATACGGGTTATCTGTTGTGTATTTACATTGATGGCAGTTTAGGCCTAAGGAGCCATCACACTTGAAGATAAGGCAAGTTGTTTATGTCAATAGAGCAGTAAAAGACCCCTCAGAGTTCTGAGTGCTCCAAGCGTTGAACCCACGGACTGAACTTGGCAACTTGGGTTTATTATGTAGAGGAGGAGGAGGACGAGGATATACTGGGTTGCGCTAGAAATCAGGGGACCTAAGAGGAGGCTGCTGGCTACAGTTTATTTTTATTTGAAGTCTAATCTGCCCGTTCTGATTAATTATTTCGATGAGGGGAGTGACAGTGCGCCAGGAGATGGGGAGAGCAAAAAGAGCGAGAGAGCGGGAGGTACCAGGTTTATTTGGACCGGGGCCAGAGGAGAGGGAGAAGGAGAGAGCTGAGTTTCAAGCCCGGTCAGGGGGGATTCCTGTGTGCTCTGTTCAGGGCCGAGGTGGTGACTGAAGGACCCTGACCTCCGCTCAGCAGGAACAGCTTGACTCTATCACTCGGGAGCACAGAGGGCTCACATGCCGCAGTGCTGCCCGGCTCGGGGGGGTTGGGAGGGGGTAGGATGGCACAAGGAGACTGTCGGTACCAACTCGCCAACACGCCACAGAGCGGTAGCACTGTGTTGGCCCAGGGTAATTGAGTCTCTTTTCCTGAGCTTAACGAGCCGCTTCGGAGACCCCGGGGGGGGGGGCAACATGAGGGAAGTTATTGAGGCCATCAGTGTAACTGTAATGTCTGTTTGCTTTTTACCCTCCGCTTCCCCTCCGGGTTTTCTCATCTGCTGTGGCGGCTCACACACACAAAACGGCTTTCTTTTTAAACGACATGTCCGTCTAGTGTGAATATCTGGGGGGCGGGAGGGGGTCAGGGTTCAACTTTTAGGTCGGCCAGCTAATGATGGCTTGCACTAAAACCCAAAACTGGGGAGTGCAGGCCTGATGTCGCCTGGCCGCCAACTTACGCACTTGTAAATAGAGAAATGTAATTTTCCATTAAAGCTTCCATATACATAATTTATATGTACACTTGGGAATGCAAGATTAAAGTAATGATGCCCACCGATTGAGTTTCCTGTGTTTGTACCGTCGCCAGCATTTGTATTGTGTGTTCTGTATGAACAGCCGAGCATTTCATGTCGATAAATATGCTTTTTCTATTTTGATGGCAAGAATTAGAAGATCAATTACTACTGTCGTATCTGTACTGTTCGTTTTAAACTACAGCTGAGCTTAGCATTAAGACAAACCTTAAAGTGTCATATCGATCTTTTCCAGGAAAACAAATTGTCTTTCTTAAAACAAAAGCATTTCAAATAGTTCAGGGAGAGATTGTTTGTTTGTCACAGTATTATCTGGGCATCTAGTATCACAGTAGCTTTAGGTTAGCATACGCTGCGTGGCTCGGCCTCATATTAAGAGGTGGTCACACTTTGACCCTGGAGTCGTCTTTGCTGACAGGCCGCTCTGCTATGCAGCCCTGTCACTCAACCCGCTGCACCAACAATGGCAGAAATTCCACTGTGTTTGTTTGGTTAAGGACGGAGCTCTCTGAAACCCCTGAACCTCCTCAGGACCCACTGCAGCCTCGCACACCCTCCGAATGAAGCCGGTGTCAGTCCCACAACCCAGACAGCGGGAGTGGAGTTCACCTGCCATCTCAAGAATAGCCGGTCCCATTAAGCAGTTGTGTCTCCTCTGTCCCACCACAATGGAGCCAACGGGCTAAATCCACATTGAAACGCACTTAGTAGAACATGTCAACATGTCAGGGTGCGCTCGACTCTGTGCTCCGTCCTAATCCGGCCCATTGAGCGCTGACAGTCGTCTGTGAATCAGACATTCACGGGGCCTTTGTCACTTCGGCAACCGCGCTGTGGAGGAGCAGAACCGCTCAGACGCACGCTATGCAGAACCTGCAGCCAGGCCAGATCCCTCGGGAGGAGAAACCGATACATAACTTGTGTAAACATTTCTCCCCCCCTCCAAAAAAAATGATGCTAGCAAAAGAAAAAGGCTCACCCCTGGTGAGGATTATCCCCGAGAGATGAATAGGGGCCAATTACGACGGCTCTGTTGTACTGCCAGTACCTGGCTCAACAGCTGTCAGCCTGATGTGCCCGTAGGGCCTGGATGGGTGCGGTGGCTGGGGAGGGTCCTCGGGAGGCTCTCTGCAGAAACAGGGCCCTCAGACTGGTAAGCCAAGGTGAGTCAAACTACATTTTGGTGTCCCCCCCCCTACCCCCCTCATCTGGCCCTCCCAAGTTCAAGACAATTAGCTCAGAGAACCAGCTGAAGCCAAAACGCTGATCCCAATGGTTTAGGCTCCCAAATGCAGTCATGGGAACAAGGGTGTTGAGATGAGATTGTGAGTTTTCTCTTGCCGTACACACATTTCCTCTGTCAAGTCTCTTGGGCCCAAATACACATTTTAATCTCAACGCTGGGTTGCGACTGAGTCTTTACACTCCCCACCAGGAATGTCAAGGCTGTCTAGGTTGTTTCAAAGAATACATATTACATTTTGTTGTACTGTAGCTATAGTACAAAGATTCCTCCCTTCCTGACCTCTATTTCAACCAAAAACACGCACAAAAGCCAGATGAGGACAGCTCGTGTCAGAGTGGGGTCCTGTTGGTAGCCCAGCAGAGGCGAGGGCCTGTGAAATGAGCTTATCTGCCGGCTGATAAGAACAGGATACCCTCATGATCAGTGTAGATTGAATACACATGGCCGCCACAGGAACTTGTATCTGAGGAGAAGTGGGTGCTTGGGGGGAGCTAGATTCAGCGCTGCGGTCCAGCCAACCACAGCCTCGGGCAGAACACCAGAGCACGTTGGCCACAGTAAAAAGGAGGTGCTACTATGTAATAGTTTGCTGTTCTGATCCCAAAATTACACTAATAGAGTCGTCGTGATCAGCGACCTCAACTGCTCAATCATGAAGTGGTTTCATTTCCTCTCGAAACAGAACTGCAATATATTGAGCTGATGTTTGATAATTGCATACGAGTCTGCATGCTAAAACACACACACACCCCGATGTTTGGATCTGAAGAAGACGTGTCCGGCACACAATTAGGGCATAATTCATGATTATGTTGTGGCACCTCTAACAAACCCTGAACCTGTGTGCGTTTGATCAGCTTTGCTTTTTTTCATCAAAACACTTTAATGAGGCCAAGAACATTATTGACCGTTTTTCACCAGAGGGATACATTTCCATTTGGTCAGCTTTATTGAAAATAATTATGCCTGGCTTATCTTCATTTATGGAGCTAAAAATATGAGTACATGATTTATGCTTGATCGGTCTAACATTCAAAACCTCACAATAATTGAACCGGTATTGTTGGTGATAATGAATTTATCAAGGATCTGCACCAAATGTTTTATCACACAACACTATAGACTCTCCAAACACCAGCTGAGCAGAGACGGTTTCCTTGTGACTGTGTCTGCGCTGGTGTTGTCAGTGTGAGTCACATCACATAAATCAAAGAACCTTCCAGTGCCATCGTGGCTTCCCACTGTGCACCCAAAACATCTGGCAGAAGATTTACTATATAGGGACCTGCCTGAGCCTGATCGGCGTGTACCGCTGGCACAGATGGCAGTTTCAGACGATCCACAAACCTGCACTGCAGGAAGAATGCACACACGCACAAACACACACACACAGAGTTTGAGCTGCAGAGACGATCCTGTCCTGTGATGCAGATGAACTGCATGCAGTCTTCGCCCCCCGGCTGCTGTCGATGCCTCTCTGATGGATTCTGTCTTTCCTGTTTAGCCATTAAAAGCTGTGTGTGTGTGTGTTGGGACGAGCCACGTGAATTAATCACAGACACACACACACACACACGCACACACATTCTGCGTGCACTGTGTCTGCTAGCGGTGCTTCTGGCGCTCCCAGTCGTGCCTGCTTGTGTTTATTTGTTGGTCATTGATCTGATGAGCGATGGCTTGCGCGGCATCCTGTCTGTGTGTGAGTGGGATTGAGGTGGTAGTGCGTGTGATAATTATTTAAACCAAAGGACAAGAAGCAACTGTTAAAGCGTATTTAATAGAAAGCATTCAACCAGACGTCATGCCTTTCACCGAAGCTTATGAAATGCTACAATCTACATTTATATATAAAAAATATAATGACTTGCATGTGACATTAAGACAAATTGTTTATCACGTGCACCTTTACGTGCATTTGTGTATAAGATGGAGGGTAATTTGTGATTACGCTCTGAAAAACTTGTTTTAGGGGCAGAGATGTTCTTTTATCCTTGCAACAACAGCCTCATTATTAAAGAGGCGTTTAAAAACCAAACTGATAAGTTTATTAACTTTTGACACTGGATGCCTCCCCTTCTCACTGTTCCGAGGGAGGGTGGTTTAGTGGTGCTGATAGCGCCTGTGTGTCCTGCCCGCTACATACTGATTCATTTAAGCTTTGTTTGGCCTAAGCCTCAAAGTGACAGGCCGTTCACTCCTCGCCCTCCCTGAGATCTCTCCATTCACACCTGCAAAGATGCCCAAGGAAAACACGAGGCCTCGCCGGGCCCATGTTATGATACCTGCACCAGTGGGTTCTCCCTCCGTTCCCATAACTCAATGCTCACTCGTCCGCTGACACCTAAACAATTCGGGGAGACATGAGGTTGCCCATGCACGTGCATTATTTATTTATTATATACATAAATATGTCTATCAAAAACTGTATTCCAATTAAGATGTTGTGTTCGGATGACGGAATAGGTCTATTGCTTCTACTTACAACAAGTAGAAGCAAGTGTGAGATAAAAAATAACAGACACATCAAATGGAAAACAGACTTAATATCACTTGCCTTTGTTACTGCTGCATTGTGGCTACTGAAACAAAATGACCAGGTCCTTCTGATGAAGGATTCGTCTCCTTATCTAAAGTGGCATTGGCCTCATCCAGACTCCATAGACGTAGAGGTTTAGTCAATATATCTCATTCTATTGAAAACTTTTGACTGGTACTGTATACAAAAATATCTCAAATTGGGTTTGCTATTCCTTTATGTAGACATTTTGGGGAATGCAATTTTTAGAATTAGAGTTGAGAGTTAAACAGGATTAATACCACTCTCGTGTCTGAAGTAAGTGAGTCCGCACTTTACCACAAGTGTCCAATTATACTTTTGAAGAATGTTTTTGGGAGTTCTGTTTGAATGAAAGACGATTTAAAAAAATACTCTATCAGTCAGTTTTTTTCAGTAAAGAACATTTTACATGCTGGTCACTTGGTACAGTAGCGCTCGGCGACTTTGCATTTATTACTCTATGGTCCATCTCGGAGGACTTATAGTATATATAAGCACTGCCCTGCGTTCCTGCCTGGCCTATTGCCCTCCACGGCATAGAGTGAAATCCTCTACGCTGCACGATGACAGGGGACACTGCATCATATCACTCCCGTCTATTTCTACCTCTCTGCGGTCTGGCTGTTATTCGGGCTGACCCGCGTTTTTTCTAATTTGGTGATGATCTGTAAAGTGACCCGCCTGCCCCCACGGTGGGGGGGCGGGGAGGGAGAGGGAGCAAGAGTGGGAAACCAGGGATTTCCTTACCACGCAGTCTCTCGGGTTGGATGGATGATACTGTATACACACCCCAGCCCTATCAACCCACCCTCTCCTCCTGTTCCTCCTCCTCCTCGGACCCACAGCGAGACCAAGGCTCCAGCTCTCAAGTGCACCCTGGCATTGTCCGACATACCCTCCCTGCCCCTGGGTAAACTGAGATGCCAGGAATAATTAATGATGGTGCCGGCCATGGTATCGGTCCAGGCAGGGCAGAAGACTCTTTCTCCCACCTCCTGCTGAGAGGTTGCTGTGCTGCCATCTCCATTTGCACTAATTGGTTTGAACCCATTGCCGCTCTACAACGCAGACTCACCCTTTTGATGCATGTCAGTACGTGCTCGTGTATTTCACTAAGCTCATTAGTTAATTAGGTACACTGGTAATCATGCTCCACTCCAAATCCAAAATATGTTTCATTTAGTATAATCGTAGTCTGTCTAGGAAGGTGTCCCTGATGGAGGCTGCTTGGGCCAAAATGTCAACTTTCCCAAAATAAACCACATATATACAGGAGATATTCCAGTTAAATGAGGGCTATCATTTTCTGTTGCAAGGAGATCATTTAGGTTTCTAACCCAGAGTACTCCAAATGTTGTTCACCTTCTCGCATTGAGCTACCTGCATATACCCCTTATTGTTTCATTTCAGAGTGCAGGGGGACTGGCTGACTCTAATCCACGGCCACAAAAGAGGTTTAAAACACTCTGGTTTCATCTAATCTTCCAGCTCAGACCTAGCCGAGCTTGAAACTCGCTTTCTCCATGATAGGAATGGACAAATAAAGGTCTCTCCCAGTACTCTCATGAAAGGGGTATGTGTGCTCTGTGGATTAGGCCCTGTGTTTTCTCTGTCTCTCTTTCTCCATTAGACTGAAAAGGATGAAGAAATAAAGACTCCCCTGTTCTTGCGGTATTGTATGGCTTTGTGAGTTTTATCATTCAGTTCTGATGTTTTTTTTAGGTAGTCTGGGTGTCTAGAATCCTGTAACAGAAGAGCAGGACTATAAAAGAGCATGTATCTGAGCGGTTAGTATTCTCAACGTTTTGGTAGTTTGAATTTTCCAATTCTCTTGTTAAGTGACAATGTAAGTCACCATAATTAAATTTAGTTACATGTTAGACGGTTGTTCAGCTATTTTGTATATATTTGTTAATGTATATCAATTCTATAATGACCTAATATGTTACCTTTGACTCACTTTCTACCACATACCGTACATTTGAGATATTGGCGATGAACACGCTGTTTAGTGAGAGAGATTGCGTGTTCTATACAGGCACTTCCACGGGCAGCTCGTCTCCTCTAAACGGAGGGTCCTTCAGCTCCGGCGCATGTTTTCAATCGTCTCCTCTCACAGCTTCTGACAACTACCCCAAACAAACGGTGTGTCACTGAACTGGTATTTTGTGAAGTTTTGTTAAAGCATTATGTTTTTACTGTACTGTCACAACTTTACCCAGCGATAACGCCAATAGCGTCAAAACGAGGTGTAACATGTAAATGCGTCTGTTGGCGTTTGTTGTCGTGAGTTGCTAGCTTGTTGCTAACTTTTATCTTCTGGCAATTTAAATTAAGCTAGCGTGAAGTGCTTACAACTTATTTAACTGTGGATGATGTATTCTAACGTTGACCAATGAACCCTGTTGGTAATAATAAGATGTCCCGATGACTCAAAAGAGTCGCGTGCTGTATTTCACAATTGAGAATAGTAAAATAAGAAAAAACGAGAGCCATCAAATAATTCTAATAAAATGCAGAGTACTTGATTTATAACCTTTGTAATTGGGAAGTTAAAATCATCTATTATAATCATCTTACGAAGGGGGCTGCACTGCAGGCTTAGTTTAGTTATAACGTTAGATTAAAATGTCTGTTTCTTCCTGAATTTCTCCCCTCACTGTTAATGAACAAGGGTGGAATTGGAATCTATTTCTACACCTGTTTATTTATATGTATTCATATTATCTATTGTATTCAAAAAGCCAATTTAGAGGAAATGATCTCCTTTATCCAGCTTCCACTCACAGAAAAATGGACAAATTCCCAACTTGGTTGTGCGAGTAATATTTTCTCCACCGCTTTGTTCAGTTAAAGGTGCGTTTTTAAGTTCCTGCTGAACTCCGGAAACGAAACAGAGACAGTTGTACGATGTACAAACAGCACTCGGTCAAACATCTCACCATGCATTACTTAGTCTGCAGTCACTCATCACATCCCTGAAGTTGACTAACAGTTGTAACACTGGGGGCGACGTGCTGCTTGACGAAGTGTAACATCTTGTTGTTTTCCGTGTGTTCTTTGTCCTCTCGAGGTGTTTTTCGAGATTGTGACACACTGAACATTTACTCGTGTTCATATTTTAGCCGTATGGACAAACTCCCTATTGGTCCAAAAGCCCATTACTCCTTTATAATGTTTGGAGATGCATAATGAAGACACTGGCGCTGTCAACTCTCTTGTGTCTCTTTTTTTCCTCTAGTGTCCAGGTAAATGACCTCATGGAGGAAATGGGTGATAATGCAAACAGATAAGGCTCCGGGTACCTGTTGAACACAGCCAGGACCTCCTAAATCTGGACCCTCTGACACGGTGCTCAATCAGTTCCTGCTTCAATGACAACCACAAGGCATTGAGCTCTTATCTGCAATGGCCCCTGCTTAGCATTCACGCCATTCACGCAAACAATGCCACCTCTTTCCACTCAGTGGATCTGTGACTGACAGTGGGTGTTGGTGCACTTGTGTCTTACTTCAACCGCAATGTGACGCTGGTCTGTTTATCCAGTCCAGATAACCCCACCAAGACACAATAAAGGGCGTGTGTCTTCCCCGCCACTTCCCATGTTGTTTGTCTAACTGGACTTTTATAATGGAGCTCGCTCTCTATTTGGCACTTTGGTTTCCTCCGCAGGAGGATCTGTATTATACGGGGGGGGAGCGGAAAGGCTGACTGATGATCGTATAGCCGGCTCACCACCCACTGACCAGCCAGCGAGGTGGAAGTGGCCCCTTGGCAAAAAAAAAAAGGTCAAAAGCAGGAAAACCGCAGATAAGAACTAATAGCTGAGGAATTAAGATGTAGCAGCAATGGACACATTGAGGCCATTTTTTTCCTCCTTTTTTAAAAGCTTGTTGGCAAAGAATAGAAAAAAGAAATACTACTGGTGCGACGAGTTGGCTTTTTGTTCTATCTAGAATGCAGCTTTTGAGTTATGTCCATTCTTCTGCAGTTTTCATCATGCAGCTCAGATCTCATATTTGATGAGGCACATACCAGCAGGGGATCTTGGGCTCCCATGCCTCCATAATGGCCTCTGTGAAGCGGGGAGGGGGGGGGGGGGCATTATAAAGCTTCTATAATAAACCCCTGTGATCAGTACACCCCTCCCTCCGTGCTCTTATTTATGAATGGCAGAATTTGACAAGAGGGCAGCTTAGGTGGGTAGCCGCCGATCACATGATACCAGCACTAAAGAGCCGAGCGAGGAATGTGGACAGGCCTCTCCCTTCACCTCTCCTAAAAAACTTTGATGCCCCATATCGTAACGAATACCCTCTATTCCTTCCCTCGTATGTCCAGCAATGTCGAAGGAGGAGAACGGGTGCTGCAGTCGGGGCGGCGGGGGGGCATAGATAGTGGCTGCGTTTGATCTGAAGGTCGCCAGCCCCTTGCTGGTGTTGAGAGATCCTTGGCATACGAGGCTGGCTCTTATTTAATAACATGAAGGGGAAGCGGACCTTTCTCTCATAATTAGGCCTAATTACCCAGTAGGTGTGGACAGACGGCCCAAGAAGAGACAAACTGCCTTTATCCGCGGACTTAGAGTCAGATTACCCCCGAGCTGTCTTATCTGTTATAGAGCCAGCAGGAGCCTCAATCCTCCTCTCCCGAATCTTCCCACTGGCTCCCACATCCAGCTCAGGTATATTAATCAGTCAGTCTGATTTATTACGCCCTGTCCAACACAAGTGTGATGAGGCCTTGCTGGTGCCTGGGGCTTTTCCCTTGGACACGTTTAATAAGACAGTTCACTGACCTATTGGGTACTTGTCATCTATAACTCCATCACTTTATAAAAACCTTTGTTATGTTCATTGAAGTGCTGGTCCGGGAGTGTTTCGGAGACCTTAATAGAGCAAGATCCTTGAGGATCTGCGACCAGAGGATCCCACCAACCTCAGCTCCCTACGGCCGCTGCCCCAGACAGTGTCCCTGCATTCACCACTGCCACTCTCTGTTGGAGGGGAACAGTTTAAGGGTCCTTGCAAGTAGATTAGAAAGACATCCTGCCACCGTCTTGTTTGTTTACAGTACCTGTCTCCCCCTTCCTGAGTTGCTTGCATGTTTGTATTTGGGTTTGTGGGTGACTCACTTGCAGCCACCACAACAGACCCATTGTTGTGAGCAACTCGGATTCCCCGCAAAATGCTGACGCCTGGAAAACCGAAGGGAAAGTCCACAGAGGAAGTATTGGCAGGGGAAAGTGGCCATTTTACTCCTCTTTTAGTTATACGGTCCCCGAGCCACCAATCCCCCCCCCCCAACGGCGGTCGGTGATTGACATCGGAAAGTCTTCCTGCCACTAGTCCTGAGACAATGAAACCAGACGGTTTCAGGCTGCCGGGTCCATGACTCACGGCTTCACGCAGGCCTGCTGCAAGAGGACAAGGGGCGCTTAATCCACCTGTTATCAGAGGGAGCCTCACCTTGTCACACACTCCTAGTCGCAGGGCTCTGGCTCAGGAATGCGGTATTACCCACCCATTCACAGCTTAACTAGTAGACCCTCGCAAAAACACTGTGGACATTTTTTTGATATATTATTACAATCACACAAAAACACGTTTGGACAGTTGTGGGCTGAAGGGTTTCCTGCTGGTTTAGTTCAGAGAATTGAGCAATATCTAATGGGGTATGTCTTGTACAAAGAGCCATATGCTGGGAGCCTCTCCAAATAGATACCAAATGTCTTTTTCTTGATAATGTTCCATATTTTGGATGGACATTTTCTACAGTAAGCATGAGAGTCAGCGTGTGTCTCCTGGAGTGGTAAACCGATAGGAAAGTTGATGGGACGACCGTCCTCTTGAGTGCGTCAGACTGCAACGGCGTGTCCTTAATTAGGCAGGCCGGTCAGGGGTCTCCGTCTCTCCGCTTCGGAGGTTCACACGGACAATTTAACCACTAACCTCCTGAAGTGAGTTGCTCCTGAATGCCTCGGGGCTCCGGTTTCAGCGCCGGCTGATTGCAGGCAGGGAGGGTTATGATAAGTAAAAGTGGAGGAGTGTGTTGTCTGCCTGAGCGCCGGGAATCTGCAATGTTCATTCTATATGAACCTTTAGTCATTCACACTGAAAACACGGCTGCTTCCTGGCGCGGAGCAGAGTTCCTGTACTCCGCTAGTTGCCTAGCAACGTCACAGGCCCGGCAAGGCCCAAGTCTCCCAACTTCTTTTTTTGTTTTTTTTATACAGATTGATTTAAGATGTAGTTTAGTTGGTGATACTAATTATCTCCCCTCTCCAGCTTTCTACTAAATATCATTCTCATTCATTCATAAACCCCTGAAACGACTTGAGCTTTTGTAGAGTTGGTGGATTCCGAAATTATTTTTAGTCAAGCGTAAAAGCTAGTAAAACCTGCAACACTGTTTCAGTTTATTGTCAGCTTGATTGTTTAATTGCATAAAGGGTTTATTGTTTATCCATTGTTTCCCTGAGACGGTGTGATTGCGTCATCTTTATATAACCATTGTAGAATTTACATAAACAGTTAAAAGACATTTAAACACGATAAGCAGAATTTGGATGGATATACGGGTGTCTGCTGTCTAATGCGTCCCTCACATGTGAATGTACTGCAATTTAGTGTTGACGCATCATTTCCTCGCAGCATACCTGCGGTCGGTTGGGTTTCCTCGGCAGCCCGGCCTACAAACGACATAAAAGCCTGAGCTGTAACTTCTGCCTCTGGGACGACGGCTGTTGATCACAAAAAGAGTGAGAGGCCCGAGTCTCCCGTCTGTTTACAGTAATTTAGCTGTCAGGCGCTGTGATTTATGACGTATTGAGTAAGAGAGGTGTTATCAGGTAGGAGGAAGACGGAGAGGGAGAGAGAGAGCCACAGGGTTTGTAGCTACTGACAAAAGCAGATACAGAGGGTGCATTAAACACAAGTGTCTGCTCAGTGAAAGGCCTCAAGCAAAGATGGCGCTGCTTTGTGACTGTTTCTGCTCCGTGATTGTGCTTTGACATCTTTCGTCTTATTGTATTCCTCTGAAAGAGTCAAGCTAATGGAACATTTAGTCATTCGTGTTGACAAAGGCCCAGTACGGTTAAATATTCTCGTTGGAGACAAACTGTCAGAAGTTTACAGAAAACTCATTTCACTTCCGTCTGTTTCTGTTGGTATCCTGACGCAGGCTTGCGGCCTCCTGGCGGCCACACGTTGTCCGAATGACCGAGGGATGTTGCGTCCTGCTCCGTCCCCCATCTACACCCTCAGGGGGGCCGGTGGGCCCCTCAACACCCTCCACTTCAGCTGCAAGGGAGGGAACACTCCCCTCCTGTTTTCTGGGTGAGTCATTTATCTCAACATTCATATTCTGTTTCTGCCCCTTCCTCAAACAGTGAAGATTGTTTGTCCACCTGTATAGTATATTGGTAGACACCAAACCAGCTAATCACGATTCACTCGTATTAAAACAGGCACCGGGTTTGGCTGTTTAGCTACGAAAGCACCACGCAACAAAGGTTTCAATGTTCTTTTGATGTTTGTTAGATTGACTAGAACAAAAATGGCTGTTTTGTAGGTGAGTTGTAGGTGAGAGCAGAGCAATGTTCACTCATATTTCTATATGCACGCGCACAAACAACCTAATACAAAGCCTGCTGTTTGTTTTCCTAGGTCAGGGAAGGGTGCCATCCATGTGTGGAACCTCAACACCAGGAGAGCCGAGAAGACGGTAGAAGGTCATTCTGGTCACTCGGTGGTCTGGGTCGGAACCCTGCGCGAGACGGATGCCCTCATCAGGTGAGGACGGTTCGCTTGGTTTCTCCACACACTCTGCGAAATGCTGCAGCTTCTGTCTGTCTGTCGTTGTGTCCGTCGGCGGAGCAGTCAGGGACGGGACATGCAGGTGTGTCTGTGGGATCTGAGCGAAGGTCGCAGCGAGGTGACGGACTCCGTGTGGACCGGCAGCGTGGGGTTCTGCCAGTGCTCCGTGCTGGAGACGAGCTCCTCGGCGCGCCTGCTGGCTTTCGCTGGACATCAGACGGAAGAGGTCAGACAGCAGGAATACTGTTTGGAATACTGGCATAATGTTTCCCGGGTTTCTATGTGTTTTAGTCCATTTACACATCTCCACCAGTGCATGCTGGGATGTGCTATAGCTCTAATATGACCATTTTCTGATGTAATATAATTACATTACATATCCATGGTTATTTGTCAAACGTATACCAGCCCTACTTTTGTCAATATTTTTCAGTTTTACATTCAGGGTCAGGAGAGACCGTATGAAACGTACACTTTATGATCTGCATAAATGACTTTTCATGCTTTTACGGTTTCTTTATCTCTAGAAGATTCACAATTTAGTTTAGAAAACATTACCAGAGACCCTTAAGGTCATTTTTCCAGTGACACATGTTGTTGTATATTCAGCGACGTGCTTGGATTTATTGGCAGCAGGTGGGAGGTCTGATGGTTAATTGGTTACAGTCTGATGAGAATAAAAAATGCCGACCTGTATCAACCCGACCAGACTCGCTGTGGCCTGTTTGACTTGAAGTTTTAGTAGGTTAGTGGAAACATGGATGTTCCAAAGCAATGGTTTATCCCTCACATCAAACCCCTGTCATCTTTTCCTTTTACCACACCGGGGTCATTTGCAATCGCTGTGACCCGTGAACATGAAATGCGACATTCTGCTTTCAGTCAATGAACGTGTCCAGAATTAACGGGACGTGAGCAAGGACTTGTAGATTTGTAACCTAAACAGCATCCAAAACAAACCGGCCTTCTTGTCATGAGTCGGCATGCACAGGGTAAGAATAAGAACCTAATACCTCCACCAGCTAAATGTCAGTTAATTTGGGCCGCGGCTATCCATGCCAGTTGTTGAATCTGTTTGTCTAAAACACCAGCTAGCCTTTTGAAGACAAGAAAACAAGTTCCTTTTTTGAAGGTAACTGCTTCTTCAAGTGAGGATATCATGAAAGTTGGAATGACTAATGGATTAAAAAGAGACTTCCTGAAGCATAAAAAGATGAACCCTGGAATGAAATCTCGGCGGTATGTCACGTAGCAAATACTCCCCACAAGCCTGAAGGGTTTTGTGTGGATTGAGGCAGGATGAGCCAGCGATTCAGCCATCTTTTATTGCCTCTAGATTCATGTTACTTGCTCTGCTGTGGAGGATCCACACTTGAAAGGCACGGAGCTGTCACCTGATCCAGCCAAACGTGCCTCTGCTAACCCCGGTCCAGCAGGCCAGGCATCAGGGCGCCTGTGACTCCCAGCACCTCAATAATGCTATTGTCCCAACAGACGCAGACAGACAGAGGCGCACACACGCGAGTTAGGCTAAAACACGCCGCAGACGACTTTGTCTTTTGGTCTCGCCGCCCCATTCCACGGGCATAACTGACCACGACAGATGCTTATCATTTATCCGCAAATAAAACGCCCACGTAGATGCATTGCCTCATACACACACATTTTAGTGCCTTGTGCAAAATGCGGGTAATATTTAGGTTTCCAACTAAGAAAAAACGAATAATAGTTTCAGGTGGTTTTAATGTCTCCTGCTCACCGTGAGATTCCTTGCTTCAACCTTGCCGCCGTGGCAGGAACATGAATTAATAATGTGGGTGTTTTATTTATGGGCAGTGGGATGCCACACAGGAACAGTGGACACCTGAGGCAAAGGGAAGTCCTTAAAGGCCCTCTTTGTCAGGCACGCAAAGGTAAACACACAGGACAGATGAGGCCGAGCGCTAAAATACAGATCCCCCCCCCCCTCCCCTTAAAGGGATGTTTAATCTGAGGCCTAATGAGGATGAATATGCGGATCATCAGCGCGGAGGGAAGTCGAAGGAATGAGCTCTGGTGGGGATGTGGACACACACACGCAAAGGCACACACTTTATCACTGGCTTCATTAGGCTGTGTATTTTATCAGAATCAGTGCCAATGTGTGCAGGAAAACACCATTCATGTCACGGGGTCGGGCTTTAGCGGGATTTATTATAGACAGGGGGGGGCGGCTGCTCTGCTCTGATCAATGGTACTGTACTGCTGGCTGGATGCACTCTGCCCTCCAGTACAAATGCACATTTCTGCCTTATTTGAATTTAGAAGGCTAACAAATATATTGGTTTGGCAGACAGCTTGTAGATGTTTAAATGTGTGTCTGTGTACATACATACATACATACATACATGTATACATTATTATATTTGTACCTGCAGTCTTTTTCACGTGTCTCCTCATTTAGCCAACCAAGCACAGCTGTCTAGGGTTGCAAAAAGCTTGATATTAATGTAGAAACCTCCCCTCCGGGTTAACAGCGTCTGCTCTTTTCCCACCGTTGCTGTTGTTTGCACTGGTAGCGATTGTAGCGCCGTTAGCCGCGAGCCACCGGCTCAGCTGTCAACATGCTAGGAGCCGTGTGTAAGTGAAACAATCTGTTGATTTTTACACATATTCACTTGTACTCCCCAAGATGAAACGCGTCTGATAGGTGAAATGGATTCTTCTGTAAAGTTGCTAAACTACGATGACAGCATAATATCTGTTACTCATCAGCGTGTTAGCATTGTCATTGTGAGCATGCATTTAGCATCGAGGGCCTTGCATGGCTGTAGAACGCCGATGTCAACAAGTCCGCTATATAGTCCGTATTAACTTGTAATCATCTTGTGTTCCCTTCAGATCAAGATTATTGAGCTACCCGGCAAGACCCCAGTCTGCACTCTGGTACCAGACGCCAAGCTGGGGATGGTCATGTGCATCAAATTGTGGCAGGTAAGCAACAGGCACTGAAATATGATTTGTGTTTTTGGAATTGGCTACAAAAAAGTACAGTTTTTCTGTGACTTAAGTTCAACTTGCGAGCTTGGCAGCCAATATCAATAGCAGTAGATCATCTTGCATAAAAAAGAGAAGGTAAACTTTGCATACCTGCTTTATTCTGATTGGCCGTTGGCTCATAACGAGACACAATAATAGAAAAGTCAACAAAAAGGCACACGAGAGACGCGGCCCATGATTTACAGCCCAACAACTTGTCCCGGACCATTTTTTCCCAAGCGTTTCTCCTCAGCTGGCACCGAGTCCCAACACTGTAATTAGAGCGCGTTTGGAAGGGCTGTGGGGTTCACAGCCATATATCAGCCTGCAGCTGCACATCCAATCTGATCCCAGCAAAAAAAAGGGTGGTTTTGTGTTTTGTAAATTCTGTCCAAAAAGGTTTTATTTTCCAGCCATTAAGGAAAGCTTGTGATTATTTCCGTGGTTAATTATTGACGCTTTGGGAGGCGCAGTGGGGTTTCAGATTTATGCAAGATGTTTTGAATACATATTTTGTGGCTGCTACACAAACAAGCAGCAGAAATCCAAACGCAGCTTATCATTTTGAAGACGGGTGGTGGGGGGGTTGCTGGCCCGTGCACAGTCAGTATTCCTGTAATACAAATTAATGAAATTATTGTGGAGACGAGATAGTCTCACAATGCATGCTGACATATATATGTATGTTCCTTTTCCCCTTTTTATTTCCCCGTTACACCCACCTTTCATCATCTGATTTATGAACCACGGTTCAGCGTTGAGTGCCAGGAAACATAATAATCAATTATATCATTATAAATTATATAATATCATTGTAATACAGCACAGGCAGCTGTCTGGCTTCAAAGCCTAAGGGCCCAGTCTCATTCCTTTCATGGCAGAGGCGTGTTGATCAGTTACAGTGACTGAGAGACTTGAGAAGTCCACGTAGTGGGACGTTACTGAGAAACCAGTGCGTACGTGAGTGTCTAAAACCCACGCACACACAGTCTGGATCTCCACCCACACATTTAGTCTGTCATAAGAAAAATACATCAAATGCTCGTGTGCCACCCACTGTTTCCTGAACCTCACACAGCAGGAGGCGACAGCTGAAACCGTCATCCTCTCTCTCCATCACACACACACACACACACACACACACACGCTCTCCAGGATGAAGACCCTGGCAATTATCTCCTCTCACAGTCCCTCCCTCTTTTTTTCCCACCATTGAGATGAGAAGTGATTATCCTCCATTATTTCCTAGACTGACTCACCAACAGATTGATTGTGGCCCTTTAAGCCCTCTCTGCTGGAGTTTGTGGAAAAAGTTTTAAAGGCAGCGTTGAACTGCACTTTCTCCTCAGATCAGCTTCCCTTTTGCAAAAATCCCACCCAGCCCTTTTGCTTCGTGTGCTGGGCTCTGTCCAGGAGGTGTCCAGAAGCTTCCACTCCGATCTCTCTGAATCTGATTGGCTGTGAGGCGCTTGGTGTGGAGGGAGAACATACCTCCACATGTGGGTCTGCCGTGTCCGGGGCTCCGGCCAGGGGCACGGTATTGATGTACGACGTGAGAGGCTTTTAATGTGAACGGAGGCTGGCGGGGAAAGGAAATGTTCCTACACAGATATCCATCACTCTCAGCTCATCACCTTGCTGCCTCGTGGCCATGACATCATGGTGGAGCGGGTCTAAAACCAGAAGGAACGATTGGTTCCTGATGTTGAAGCAGCGCCGGGCCTCGGGCGCGCCGGCAAACAAGTTTAAGTCCTCAAAAAGGAAATGACACACTACTGTTTGTGGAGCATACATTCAGGATATCAGACACATACGTCTCTCTAATCACATTTAGATTTGACTTTGTTTTTGTATTATTAGGTTATTTGGCTTATTGATTTGGTGTGAAGTAAACTGTAAACGAGACAGAATTAGCCTGAAAGCCTCATAATCAGCTGTTTTCCTGGCCAGGTGTTACACATTCGTGCTAGGAACAGAATAAAATGACACATCCTTTTCAAATATATTCAATATAATAAAAAGATGCATAATAGAAAAACATATATAGACTAATATTTAATCACAGATTATGACCAGGATATTTCTGTCAAAGCCTCATTCTGTCACTTTTATCTGTCACTTCATGGAGCGAATCATTCATTTTATTATTGAAAATAATCCTTGATAGAAAACAAGATTTTCCGATTTATTTCTGTGTGTGCAGTAAATTTATCTTGAGCTGCAAATCAGAGGAACCTGGATTGAATTGGTCAGCAACCAAAGCCATTTGATCTTATTTGGCACAGCGTGTCTTGGTGCCTCCCTTTGGTTACATGGGTGCTTTGCGTTGCCTCAACATCACAAGAGATGTTGCACCGTTTTACCGAATGCGATTATTCTAGAAAAAGGCCGAATGTTGAAAAGCCGTAACTGAACCCTGGTGGTCTGAACCAACTGCTTGGGCGACCAGTCCCGTCTCATTGAGAAATAAGGCTTTGAGCCGACCCGCTATAATGGTTGCATTTTAGAAAATGCCGGCAATTGTACAAAATACACGGATGCATCACCTTTTAATGCGCTTCACAAATACCGTAAAGTGCACCGCATCACACAAAGGATCACACGACTGCCGACCGGTCGGAGCCCAACTGGTGTCCGTCCTTTCTGCTGCGGCTCCTCAGCCGGCCGTCCCCCTCGCTGCCCCGCGGTGATGAATCTCCTCCCAGAGCCCCGGCAGAGAGCCCTCTTGCAGAAAGGCCTGTGGAGGATATAATGAATTAGGTGTCTACCCAGGGTTCCCCGACCTCCGACCCGTGACATCATCAATCAAGGCGGTCCTACGTTTAGGTGAAACGATGGGCCCCAAACCTGGAACGTTTGGCCCGGGCCCTGCCGGCAGGCGGGGGCCACTGATTTTCACTTGTTTTTATTTGTTTTCATAATGCCTCGGTGTTCGTCCCCGCTGATGTGTTTGGAAGGAATACACGACTCTGTCTATAATTAGTTTAAATCTGGAAGAGGAGAAATATAGAGCGTTAAGTGAGAAGAGGACTCGTAGATGGATGAAAAAATGGCACACATGGCCCCCTCGCACATATGGAAAACATTTCTTCCTCTCCTCACTTCTGCAGGGCAGGGTGCTCTTGCTGGGGTCCTGATGGTGTTTTAAGGCAGGCATGAGTCGGGACCAAGTGTGTATCGGTGCTGCGGATCACAAGTCTTCTGAAATGTACTGTGTGGTTCCACGGGTCAGCTGGTGAAAGGGTTGTTTGGACAATACTCCAGACATACTATACATGGCTCCCCTCCATACTCGTGCACAGAAGAGTTTTGGTCATTTGTTCAGAGAGTCCCCCTTTCCGTCTATTTATCCATTCCGCCTCCTCCTCCTCCAGTCCTTCCTCTCGCCTCTGCAGCAATGCAAAGATAAATGAAGCCCCCGGGTTTTTATCAGTTAACCTTTATGTTCGTTCACAGAGGTGATTTACAGTCTGACGCTTCCAACGGTTGGAAGGATCCACTTTATTACTCTCTTAGAATTTGAATGACTTTTCTCTAAAAATAAACCTCTAACTGCTGTACATTTAGTGTTTTGGTAAAGGTTACTCGATGTATCCGACTGAGGTTTATGTTTGGTTCCTCGTCTAGCTTGTAAAACAGCATAATATGTTTAGAGTTAGTTATTTAGTTTAGATTCATCAAACAATCAGCAGAAAAATGCATTCTTACACATCTTCTGACTCCGGCTTCTCCGATGTTTCTGTCTTTGATTGCGTCTTGTGTCCCAGAAATCTATTTAAAAAATGTATTCAATAATCAAATCTTGAAATATTCATTATTTTCCCCTCTAATGCATTATTTAGTTTATTAAGGTTTGTATTATGAAGTGAACAATAATCTTTTTTTTCTAATTTGGATTAATTGTACTTAAAGTTTACATACCAAGTATACTAGACCAGTCAAAAAGAAGAAAAGATATAGATAAAATATACTAAAATAACACACATATATATTTAGATTCACTGTGTCTGTGTTTGTGTATATAGACATATGTTTAAGAAATAAACTACACATCCATTAGCCGTTTTTTCTGTGGGGATTTCATATTATAACTCGGAAGACCTCACTAAATGTCACGTTTTGAGAATGATTCGCAGTTCGTTCCTGCAGTATGAGCATTGGTGCGGGCAGAGAGTCCTCAGACTCGGAAATATAGATGAGGAGCAAAGTGAGGAGTTGTGTAATGGAGTGTTGGAAAGAGAGCAGCAGCAGCAGCAGCCTGACGAATGGAGCCCGCAGCGTCTTTCCGAGTGTCAACAGGAGCTTCCAACGTGATAACCTCTGCTCCGCGCTGCTTCCAGCGCCTCACCGCGGCTTCTCCGCTTCGTCTTTTTGTTGTTGTTGTTGTTTTTTTTGACTGCAGAACCCTCGCCTCACATCTTACCGTTGTTCCCTCTCTCCTCATCTCGCTGTCCCTCCTCTCTCGCAGCCCGACTCGGGGCACGGGCCGCTCCTGCTGGCCGGATACGAGGACGGTTCGCTGCTGCTGTGGGACGTAACCCAGAGGTCCGCGCTGAGCCGAGTCAAAGCCCACCCTGAGCCCGTCATGTGCCTGACCTTTGACCTCCGGTGTCTGAGGGGCGTGTCCGGCTCCTCCGAGAAGCAACTCTCCGCCTGGATGCTGGACGGACAGAACAACCTGCAGGTCAGCAGAGGACACACTGAGGGGGGGAAGTGTAGTGTTTTCTAGTCGGGAGTTTCCGAAGCTTTTCTCTGACTCGTCGCACCGCCCCTCTGACTTTGAAACTGGCGTTCAACTCTATGAAGTATGATGTTTGTCAGTAGAAGTATCCGGTGGATATTCTTCCAGTAAATTATGCAGGTTAAAGTTGGCATTTGAACCACTTCCATGCAGCTCCACTTTAAACCCTTCGTGACTTTTGGCTTCTATTTCAACAGCTTATCCATCTCTTTAAGCTACATTTTTAACTGTTCATCCAATGCTTTTAGCTTATTAATTTAACCATTTATCTATTACTTTAAGGTAACTATTTTAATTGTTCTATGGGTTTATGTTCATAATTGATTCTATTTGTCTGTTCCTTTTAGCAATAAATGTCATCCATTTATCCAACCAATTTACCAAATGAGTTCTTCACAACATGTTGTGTTTAGCCGTTTAATATCAGTCAGATAACCCATTTTCAAATTAGTGGTACTTACTTTTTTATTTTTTTCAACTTTACTTTCAGGAGTTTAAGTGTCAGCGTCCTGCTGTAGTAACCATTCTAATGCTCATTTGCCCTCCTGAAGTCTCCCTGGTTAAGCTCCTGAAGTGTCTCCTAAATACCACAAAATATAATAGAAAAGGTAATGACGGGGACGGGGGAGGGGGAGGGGGAGGGGGGAGTAGCATTTCGCGAGGCTCTTTTGGAAAACATCAGGGGCCAAAGAGGAAGAGGCTCAGTAGGGCTCCGGGGGGCCATAAATCAGCTGCTGGTTACACAGCGTTGGCAGGGCCAGGGGCCAAGGGCCGAGCTGAGGCTGTCACTCCAGACCCAAACCACCCACCGACATACACACCAACACCATCACACATTAGGGTCGGTTTAAACCGTTCTGGATTACGCATACGGATTTTTAGTGAAACCAATTTCACTACCACCAATCATTTTCGCTTGATTGCATGAGCAAAAGGGAATGCTTCCATTTTGCAGCCAACCCCCATGAATCAGAGCGGGTTGGGGGACCTGAAGCACACACATAGTAAACTCCTAAACAGGGAGGGGGTTCATTCTTTCCAAAGCTTTTTTTTCTCACTACAACTATACTTCTAGAAAAACACTACAAAGAATTTGATTCAATATACCAAAACAGGAGGAGAGTAGTTATTTGGTTTATTTTTGCTCAAACAGCAAAATATTGATTCAGCGTGTAATCCAGGATGAGGATAGCAGGAAAAAAGCACAAGGAGAGGGGAAAGATCCAACAGGGGCTTTTAAATTATCCTGAAGTGCAGCTCAGTGTGACGTCCAGACAGCCGTCCTCAGTTCTTCCCACAAACGTATTTTTGTGTGGCAGCGGCGTGGGGGTGGGGGGCGGCCTGCCTGCCGGGTGGCGGACCCGGGCCCTCGGCCCTGGCGGACGACCCGCGAGAGGCAATAAAAATATCAAAACCTCGGAGGCCCCCTTAACCAAACAAAAAACACATCTGCAGTAAAAGGAACAGTAGTTCACAGTGGGAGGCTGCAATAAAGGCTGAGGGGGCCATAAGTGCCACAGCATCCCACTTCCCACAAACTACCTCCGCGATTCCGTGGAATACGGCGGAAACCCGGCCGGCCGGGAAGATGGATGCTTTTTTTTTTTGTGAAAGGGAGGAGAAGCTGGATGTGACACAACGCAGTGCCGTTATGATTTAGTGAAGCGGAGGGGCTGTGAAGTGAGCTTATCAAGCCCAGATAAAGGCAGACAGCCTGAGGAATGGAGGTTGATGCATTACACATGGCTCCCAGAGGCCTTTATCTCCTGCTTGACCTTGCTAGCCTTGAATCTTTTCATAGTAGTAAGGCATCATCTTCATCATCAGTGGTTTGTTTTTTTTCCTCCTCTACTTCTCGCGCACATTTTCGGGAATGTGTCACGGTGGGATTACGAGGCCGCGGGCGTTTACAGGGTTTACAAGCTGTTAAGCCAGCGGGACACACATTTAGGCGTCCACTCAAACGCATCAACACGTGCGGTGACGTGATCCTCGGGACACGGGCCGCGGACTGTAGAAAGGGAGAGCAGGCATAGACAAAGGAAGACTAGAGGTGTCAATCAAGCGTGGGGACACGCTGAGACTGATGACAGCTCTCTACGGGTGGAACTACCATGCAATAAATCCCCACATTACCCCCCCTGCAGTCGCTTTAGTGGATTCTTCAGTCAGCAAATCCTGGCGCGTCCTGACTTTCAGGTCCAACCTCAGTGTGATGTTGAGCTGACGTGTGTGTGTGGCCGCGTTCTCCACCTCCTCTCTCTCTCTTTTTTTTCTGAATGAGACCGCCTTGCCTGTTTGACACATCCATCTCCTGTCAGCCAACGCCGAGCTCTCTGACGGGCGGGGTGACAAAAGGCTGTAATCTCCCCGCTGCGCAGTGTGACCCAGGGACAGGGTGTGTCAGAAATACCTGCGAAACCCACCCGCTCGGCGCCAGTGAGTGAGCGATGACGGGACGTTTCACGCCAACATCCGTGCCAAGTCCGAGGAGGGAAGATGGGGGGGGGGGTGGGTGGAGCGCGGCTCGAGTGAGATCCGCCAAGCGCTCGCTCCTTTTGGACGCCTCCTCCGCCGTCGAGACGACACTTGAGAGAAGTGTGAGTTAGCGTCGTGTCTGCCGGGCGCAGCTGCTCAGCAGAGCTGGTAGGCTCCTGACAGCTGAGGGGAAGCTGGCGTTAAGACGCCAAGACGTGTGTGCGTGTGCGTTCAGACAAAAACGACAAAGCCCAAAGACGGATTGCGGGGTGTGAAAGGAAACCGGCCGTGCTCCCCGGTTCGAGCCACCGGGTTTCATTCCAGATTCAGACCCGGTTAATGCGACGCCTAAGTCAGCAGCGTGTTCTGGTTATTCAACAATTGTGTGACCCGAGAGCAGGAACAACGTTACATTTCATAAACTAGACTCTCCTTTTAAAGAATAAAGAAGTAATCCAGACAAGTATGATGGTCTGGAACTAATCATTTCCATTATCTCGTATTATTTTGGTTGTTTTCTAAAGGTATCAATTAGTCATTCAGCCTATAAAATCATAGCTGATGTTTTATTTCCTTGGTCTTGTCAAGTCTCGTTAGTACAAAATGGGAATTAGGCGTCTTTGCTTCATGCTTCAACTTTTGCTTCAACTAATCCTAGTCTCATTCTAACTGTTTATGACTAAACTAATATTACTAGTAGATTTCAATAATTTCCTAAAAATGTCAGAAAGTCAAGATGATCCTGTGTCCAACTAACAACAGATATTCTATTTATTTAACCCTTTTTACCAAATAAAACATTTAAATAAAATTGAAAATGTTGGTGCTTATTTTTCTGTTCACCAACTAATTCATTAATCATAAAATCTGAGTAAACTCTCACACTTGCAGCTTAGGAACCGACATGATTGATTGTTAATCACAAAACTTTTGCACTAGTTTCACTTTTTTTCGACAGTAGAAAGTACAAATAACTAACCAGCCCGCGCCGCTGACTGACCATTACTTCATCATTAGCCATTCACTGCTTACGATTGACCCTCTAAATGAAACAAATGCCATTTCCTGACACAAACTATGGGAAGCAAAACAAACAAAAACAGACACTTAAAGCCATCATTATCAGGCCTGTAATGCAGACCAGATGCAGAGAGGTAGCAGCATACCAACTTCTTGAGGTAATAACAAAGCTGCAAACGGTCTTTTGCCCCGCGGCTTTCTGTTGCATCCGTGTATCTGACTTGTTTGGTGTAACCGGGCGACCTCGCTTTTCGCACTGGTGTTCCCAGCGACGGTGGTTTTCTAAACGAAATAAAAGCCGTCCCGTCTCTGCCCGGTCTGAACTTTCTCGCCGTGTTTTGATCAATGACATTCCTCCTTCTCCCTCTCTCTCTCTCTCTCTCTCCTGTGCATTCCACTTCATCCGCTTGGGCTACGGGTACCTGGCTTATATCTTCCACATGCAGCTCGTAGATGGTTCCTGCCCGGAACAGGAGCACGCAGATAAATTCTCCACCGTCTCCTGCTCTACAAGGCCATTAGTCTCCCTAGACACCGCTTATGAAGTCAATTATACGCTGTCCAGTTTGATTTCGGCTCCCACATCCAGATGTTCGTGTCCCGTCCACGGGTCCAGCAGAGGTCCGTAATCTGCAGGAAGAGCACGTTCCCCCCCCAGGAACGCCCACCTCAGCGGGCCCTTTTTAGATGGTGATCTCCGCAGTCGTTCATTATAATATGTCCGAATGTTGCCCCTTTTGAGAGATTGATAGAGTCCTATGACACAGTAACTCACAGGGAGGGGGGAGCTGTGGCTAATCTCTAGCAGGCAGACGTTACAACGGCGTATTTATCGGGGTCTCTTCTCCCGCTGACCGGACCTTTCAGTGGGAATGTAATTCATCAGAGGCTCCTAAAGCAACACGGCATCTGCAAACAAGCGCTTCAGCGAGAGGGTCTTTGTCTCTCTCTCTCTCTCTTTTCTTGCAAACTGTGACAAAGGTAATTTAAGCCCCGCTTCCAGAACAGGCCCCTCTAGCTCCAAACCCAGCAGCGGGACGCAGAGAGATCTGCTCGCGGCCCTCGTGCCGTAATGTTTTATGGCCGTTGATTGAGTCCCAGGAGTCTCCAGCCAGGTTCAACAAGACATCCAGCCTCACACTTGGGCCTCAGTCAACAGATCAGCTGATGAGTCTCTCCCTTTCGGCGTTGGTGTTGGCCCCGGTTTCCCAGACAGCAGTGATGAATCGACTTACTGGCCTAATTATTGTTTTTTGTCTCCTTGTTTGCATGAGCAATAGGTTCATTTGTTTTTAGGTTTCACTGGCAATAAAGAATTTAAAAAACGGGTGCGTATTTGATACACGCTAAGATCCTTTTCCTCTGTGTGGTTTTTTAGCTCCAGGACAACGTCGCCCTGGTCAACCCCGGGGTCTCCCAGCTTTGTGTCAGGGCCGACGGTAAACTCCTGGCGTCGGCGGGCTGGGACCATCGGGTGCGGATATTTGGGTGGAAGAAGCTCCGACCACTGGCGGTGCTTCAGTACCACACCGACATGGTGCTCAGCGTGGCCTTCTCCGACCACCAGGACCCCGGGCACAGACTGCTGGCCGCTGGATCCAAGGACCATCGCATCAGCCTGTGGTCAATATACAACGAGGGAGCGGACACTGGCTGAGCACGCCAGCTCTGGGAGGACTGTTGGATTTTTAATCAATACTTTCTGCAATTCTTGATGCAACCCAAAATAATGTTAGACGCCGACTATTCAGTGATTGCCAATAGACAAGTGGACTGTTAATTTATTCAGCTGCGTGCATCTGGATATTGCCAAGTGATGACGTGTGGAAGTAACGACCATAAATAACAGACCAACTTTCTCATCAAGCTCTTAAGAGCAGGAAAAAAAGTTAAAGTTAAACAAGGGAACCATTTGTCCACATCGGTATGATTTGAAATTCATCACACACAACAAGGAGTTGGGTTCCTAATTAGCTAATGTTACTTAATACGGTTAATACTGCATCCTGCTACGGGATTCATGGAGAGACGCTGGGTTAAAAATATTACCCTTAAACTCATTTGATGTAGTTCTCAAATGAACTAAAATTTAAGTAATTCCATCGGTGCTTTATGTTTACAGGCTCATTGTACTATTTCTTCTTCTCTGAAACAATTGGTACAGCTGCAAAAAGAAATATTGAGGTCTGCATTTGTAACATAAGAGCTGCCCTTGTTAACTCTTTGTTACGTAGATATTTTACATAATGTCTGGTTTAGTTTTCTTACATAGAATTTCCTTTAAATGAGAGCTAGGTTGAAATGAAACAGTTGAACAGGCATTTGCCGACTTTTTAGTCAGCCGAAGCCTTTTTGTGACGCGCTGTGCAGCTTTGTGATTGTGTTGACCTGTCTGATGGGAGATTTGCTCCAGTGGATGTGAATTTGAGCAACACAACGCACCTGATCGGCTGTGTAATCTCGTGTTGTTTTCCTAGCAGGTCTTAGCTTAACACGCTGGCCCCTCCAGCCGGACCTGAGCTGTTTGTCAAACAAGGTTAATCACAGCGGTGGCCCAAAGAACAGAGATCTGTTGGTTTAGTGCTGGTTCTGATCTGCAGATACTCTCCTTCAGCATAATCTCTTCTGTGCTGAGTTTCTTTTTCAAATGTACTTTGTTAATCTTAAAGGTTAGAACCTGAAGAAATGACATGGCTGTGAACAAAAAGCTGAACAATTTTAAATCAGCGAAAAACAACGTTTAATGACCTCTGAAACATTTTAAAACAAGACAATGGGTTATGGGGTTAAAACAAGACAATGACAACTTCCACATTTACTTTTATTGTAATGCCAAATACTGATCTTTTTCCATTTTCCGTCAACATGGCCACGGTTCTTGTTGTGAAGGTTTCAGAGAAAATAGAGACGTGTGTTTTTTCTCTCCGCCGTCTCTAATAATACATCTGTGAGTCACGAGCAGCATGGGACCTCGTGTGCTGCAGCTTCAAACGCTCCACACTCTGCCCCACGAAGGCCTCGTCTCATGGGATGACCCCAAGTTGGGAAGCTCATCACTCTGTACAGGAAAGGCCTGAGAAATCAAAGAGCCAGAATAGCATAAAAGCCACAAATCATTAGTGACCAGAGGAAAGTGAAGGTCGCAAGCTGCCTCGCGGTGACATCACCGTCATTGGGAGAAAAAAAGGTGCATTTCTCTTGGTTTTGTTGCTTGTATTTAAACTTGTGATCGTGCAATTGTGACTGTGTTTTTTTTTTTTTTTATATAAAAAACTTGAACCCCGTTAAAAAAAGAAAAGAAAAAATGCCTCTTTTTCCGAGTGCCTGGTTTTAATGGCGTGTTTTCCTTGTTCCCCCTGCAGAGCTCCGGCTCTACCTTTTGTGTCTGACCCCGCTGGTGACATCTTGCATTCATAACAGCTTCCTCACTCTCCTGTTGGCTTTGAACAAACACTAGAGGTGGCGTGGGCCAGCTTCCGTCCATTCTCTGATAAATCAAATGCTCTGTTCATTGGGGCAGATGTTTTCTGAATGGAGCCGACAGCGACGCACGGGCCTTAAGAGTGCTTGCTGAGGTGGTGGTGGAACTCATAAATCACTTCATAATGGTTCATTTAGGAAGTCAATAAACGGACGGGGAGACCGTCTGCACAATAGCCCCCACCCCCCCGTGCTTCACTTATCACCTAACGTGTGTCTCCCTTGGCCTTCAAGGTCAGAGGTCAGCCTGGCTTTGGGACGGGACACAATCCTTTTTGTTGCATTGGTGTGCGAGTGCCCGATGCTCGTAACACCGACTTATTATTATTTAGGGAACATAATTGATTAAAAAGAATCAATTGAGGGAAATTTCTGAATGAATGGGTTTAATCTATTAAGTGTGCAAACGCAAAAAGCCTCTTGCCCGTTGGAGTCGATTTGTTTTGATGTTCTGCATAAAATGTCTGTCAGCAACCTCGTGCGCGCCATAAACTGTAGTACCTTTTTGTATCAGGCCAAAATATGAAACACATGCTCTGTTGTTTCGGGGCCGGACTCCGATTGGTTAACCCGGCTTTTTTACATAACTGTCCCCACATACTGCAGGCGGGGAGGCGGGGCTCGGCGGCTTTAATGTACACACACACACACACGGAGCGAAGGAATCAAAACCCCAATAGGCCTGTCACAGCAGATGTTCCAGATGCGGCTGAGTGTCAAATGATGCCTCAGGTTGCATTATCATCCATCCGCTGTCTCCTCATACTTCACTCCAGAGTCCGTGGCATCATTTCTCTCGGAGCCTGAGACATTTGGGCACATCAATGTAACCGGCCTTTAACAGGCGGCTCTTTTCCTTGGTGTTAAATGAAGGATACGTTGAAATACTCAAACACGGCCCAGGCCTGTTGAAAGCATGCCATGGCCTATTAAGGTGCATGTGGAGAAATGTAATGTTGGAAGTATTTGCCCCAACAGGCATCATACTGACAATAAATGGTATTGAGGTGCAATTCATTGTACATCCTCCAGCGGGTGCAGTTTCTCTGATCGCCATTTTGAAAGAAATCACTTCGCTTGTGTTTGTAAGGATCAAAGTATTTGTAATCTCTATATAACTATATCTTTAAATAGATCTAAAGTCAGTAAAACAAAGCGTTATTGAGGCGCAGAATATCCCCGTTGTTACTTATGTCTAAAGGCCGTTACTTTCACGTCCCTTCCATCTGCACAGGGCAGTTACTCGTCCCCCCCGGACTGATGCATACAACACCAGGGACGCCATTTATTAAGAGAGCGCCATATGAAGAACATTTTCATTGCTGGATAGGGGTTTTATGGGACAACCGTTAATGGTGCAGGTGATGAGAGGAAATGAAAAGGCTGTGTCTTCATTGCAGTGGGGATTTTTCTAAAGTACTGTACGTAAATCTACTTGTTGCGTTAAATATACTCAATCATAGTACTTTACACTTCAATTCAGAGGCATATTTTGTCATTTATTTTGCTTGTGTTATAGTATACAGTAGATTTATATTTCACTTGGAAAATGAGTGTATAAAATCTACAACAAAAAAATCTACGTATCTTGTCTTACAACAAGATATATAAGCCATTAGAATTAGGTGCACCAAAAAAATCAACACTGAAAAACAGCTTAATGACTCCCTGTTTATGATGTTATGATATAACATTATATCACATATTTACATTATCATCAGTGACATGCTTTTTTTTAAATACTGACTTCTTCCTTTTGGTACATTAAGTTTATTTTTCTTGTGCTGAGTATTACTAGTTGTACGGGCATCTTAATGTTACCTCACTGCAAAATACTTTGTTTTTTTATTCTTTTGCACCAGAAGTCACATGACTGGTTTTATGCCCAGCATAGAGAGAGTTTTTTTTTTTAAGCAACATACCTTTTGACTGAATTCTACGTGTGGAAACGATGGGGTTCATAACAATGAGCTGGTCGGGAGCAGCAGAATGAAATGATTCATAAATACAACCGATGGTCCACTTGGCCTCGTGTAGCCACAGGCGCGCGCGCTGTTTTACCTCGACTAAACCAGCACGCGCATTACCGGCTTCATCGAAGTTTCCGCTTGTATTGCGACGCCTATAATTAGTCCGCACGTCCGCCTTTTTGACCCTGTCCTCCATGCGTGATGCCCCCCCCGTACCTCCCACTGAGCCCGCCCGTGCGCGGAGAAGCCCGGTGTCTTCTCGGGCTGTTTCTGGGCTCCGGCACCTGCAGGCCGGCGTCGGTGCCCGCCAGGCGGCTTCCTGAGCAGACTGGACAGGGAGAGGAAACGGGGCACGTGCGTGCGGACATATTGGAAATGCGCACTGTTTGGAACCCCGCTGGAAAGGTTGATGCACAACGGCGACGCACTTGTCAGCTGACGTCGTTAATATTTTTATGTTGCGTATGTATTTTTCCCTTTAGTTCTCCCCGGAACAAACATACAGAAACAAAAATGCCAATTAGTCCGCGTTTAAATGAGTGGAAACATTATTTAACCTTTGACACGTTTACAAGCCATTAAAGAGTCAGAGGTCAGCCGCCCCGAGGCTTCCTTTTCCCGACTCTCCACTCACAGGCAGCTGAGTTCAAGGAGAAAAAATACATTATTGAAATGAATCACTGGGGTATGTTTCCCTTTGCATAGTGACAGGCACAAATCCCAAAACAGACCCCCCGCCCCCCCTGACCCCCCCACCATTGACAACAAAGCATTCCTCATAGGACTTCAAACAGGAGATGGAAATGGCTGCACAGATAGGAGACGGTGACGTTCTTAAAATATCACCGAACTGTCCCATTAAATGTGACCAATGATGTCCTTTAGCGGTGAGAGGAAATGTAAGAAGTGCTTATTTTTCAGCTTGTATGAAAACAATGACTTGGGTTTATTTTCATTTCAGTGGTTTAACACACAAATTCCTGAAATATGTATTTTTCAACAAAATCGTTTGTACAATACCTATGACATGTTTATTTCAAGTTTTCTTTCTTTTTTTTTTACGGAATTATTTTCCAAGTCCTTCAGTTTAACAGTTTAAGTGACCCCGTGCTGCAGATTCTATTAATTGATCAGTGAAAGACGTGAACAATTTTGCACTCTGTAATTGGAGCTACTTTGAACGGTTTATTAAAACCAGGCAAATCTAGAAGTAGGAAGTAGGTCAATGAGTGAATTCATGCGTGTGTATTCTTTCTGCAGAGAACCAGTTGCAGACCAACATTTGAACCAGTCAGTTGTTTACTGTCTCCGGGTCCTGACTTCTGATGCTGCAGCAGCAACAGACACCTAAACCCAATTCAACAGCGTAAATCTAGTTGCAGAATCCAGAACAATCCTATCAGTGAGGTAAGCTTTTTTTTTTTTGTAGCCCTCCCCCCTTCAACAGTGCGACACCAGCCAGAGCTTTGAATGGAAGTTCTCCTCAAAGACGGTTTTCTTTATGAATTACAAGAATTTAATGTTTTTGTTACAGATACAGAACATTCTGCTTCATTTATTTACTTTGAATTGCTGCAAGTCAGTGCCGTGGTACAAGCTTCTCAGAGCGGCTCAAGATTTTCCGACCGTTTCAAAGTCTTGTTTTTTCTTTTTTTTTCTTCCTCAAACAAAAACATTTGGGTGTGTTCGACACCCCCTCTGATGAGCTCAACATGCAAACATCTCGTCTACCTAGAAGGTAGATGAACTATATAACATATGGCTTTTTTTAAAGCAATAAAAACAAGGCAAATCAAAAAGTGCATCCAACACAAAACAAAAAAAAAAAAGAATTCACTTCCAGTCTGTGATCAAAAGTATTGTCTTGGTTAACGAGAGGTCCCTCCTGTCTCCTCTGTCGGCTCAATATCTACACCGCTCAGGTAAGCAGGGGAAACTATTGCCATTTGGGTTCGAAAGTCACAGAAGACCTCTTCAGGGACTCGGAGCAGGTTGCCCGTGCTTCACGGCAAAAAAAAAAAAAAAAATCCTTTAAATAAATACGGCAGGGTTTATCCAGCAGAGTTTCAGCCCGTGAACGCACCCGGCAGGTTGCGTAAGCCGTCAGCTGACAGGACTGTGTTGCCTTTCCTGCCTGTTTCCATTCCAACAGTGAGCGCCGTTAGCCCTGACGGACGCCAGTCATTATCTGGGCCCGTAGTCATAGTTAGAGGGGCCGCTGGTGGCTGAGTACATGTTGGCTGTGGCTGGGTTCATGTGGTGGTGGTACGTGTGTCCTCTGATGCCGGGTAAAGGATAGGGTGACGGCCGGGTCTTGGCTCCCAGGTAGTGTTCGTAGGTGGTGGGGTACTTATAAGGGTGGTGGTGCAGGGTATCCGGAGGCAGGCCGTGGGGGTCAGGGCGGAGGTCGTGGGGGGGGCTCGGTCGGCCGCTCGTGAGGGAGACGCCGTGGAGGCCTCCTGGGACGGGCAAGGCGGGGCTGAGGACCCGGGACATCAGTTGGTGAGCCGGGTCGGCGTGCATGGGCGTGCCGCCGGGGTCCCGCTCGTACTCCCGCCGGCTGTCCTCTGTGCAGGAAGAGACATGAGAACAGTGAGGACTCGTCAATATGTACCCAGTCGTGTATATATTTCTGTGTGTGTGTGTGTTTAGTTCTGCACTGACTGCTCACACTGATGCACGGGTTTTGGGGTTGGAGCCGGTAAAATTTGCACCGTGTCTATATATATATATATATATATATATATATATCTTTTCACAACTGCCGCCTCTTTGTGAAATGAAATTAGCATTATTTATTGTATTATGTGCCGGGCTTAAGCAGTGTTTAGATCACAGATAGAAGTTGGCAGTATTAAGATCTGAAATTATAATGAAATAAAATGATGCCTGTAACTAAAATTACTGCAGAATACATTCCAAATGGGAGCTTAAAATATAACTTGGTCATTCAATTCCTTCTCATGCATTCGTGAAACAAATCGCTTTAAACACCATGTTAAGAAAATCAAGCTGCTGTCAGTGACATGCTACATTTCCACGTGGGAGGACACGTATTTTATGTATTTTCCTAATGGCCAATCTAACAGAAAATGGTTGGACGTTAAACATTTCCTCTAAAGGCTGAATAAGTGAATGTGATTATGTTGTTTCATGTTTGATAGCAGGCATCAGTTGTGAAATGGAACAGAGAGTGAGCTGCGGACCTTTTTCTGTGCCGTTCTGCTGAGGAGGAGATGACATTGGGTTTCTTGTTCTGGCAAAGGCACTCATTATTGGCAGAGAGCCTGGTCTGTGATTCCTGGGCCTGGAGCAGGGAGAATGGATTCAGTTACATGCTCATTTAATGGATGTCAAACGCACATTTTCTATTAAAATGATACATGCTCATATTAACAGTTCACACCGTTGCATGTAAAAAGCATTTGCACTTTGTCGGGCGCCCAAGTTAATCAGAACCTCCCATATACCTCAGTGTGATGGCTTCAGTTAATGCGCTTAAGAAGAAGGACAAAGACGTTCACACAGCTGGATTATCTGCATTTTAATGCACCCGCACGGAGTCTGCATACCAGATAGTTGTGGTTCATTCTATTGTTACTGTTCCGAGTGTTTTGTCATTTGTCAGTGACAGGAAAGCGTGAGTCGATTCACGACCAAACAGCAACCAGCAATTCCAGAACTTCATGGAACTCGTGTTTTTCATGAGGCAATCTCTACTCCTTACGGCACCTATGTGACACGCATCGTAAAAGCTCTCTGGGCCTGTTGAGCATTTTTTTATGTCGTGTGGAAACATGCCAGCGACCGCATTGTTTGAGTGTAAACGCTCACCAGTCCTCTGGATCGCAGTCCCTGAAGCCCTTTGCGAAGGGATTGCTGGCTATCTTCAGCTGCGTGATCTGAAACCCAGAGCACATCATCAAATGCCATTTCCATTTCCACAGGTCGTTATATCTGAGTTCCATTACAAATTACAGCAGGGATTGAGTGGCCTGACGGGCTGACAATGTAGATGGAAAATCCACTCCGGCGTAAAAAATGTCACGCAAAAATGTCCAGTAAATGGTTCAAATCTGCCGTTAAGGGGGAGATTATCACGGGAGAATATTGTGGGCTGCATGTCTGACCTCTTATGTAACATTTAGAAGCTGCATCGTGTCCAGGATAGATTCCTATACAGGCACAGCAGCACTAAGTGTTCACAATTTAGAGGCTCCATTTATCATCGTCATCATTTAACAACTTTTTAAAATGAACTTCATACTAATTGATATAACGTCTCTCCATTGAGTCACGTTGTGTAGTCCATAAATAACCCACCAACGGTAACACAGTATCAGGGCTTCAAATGTAACAATGCTTTCCGGAACATCCAACTACAGTATAACTGTTCTAGCAGTAATCACTTCATTCACTAAACTGGCCATCGTGCATAATAACGACGCAACGACGCACCGACTATTGCGCACACTCTGAATTGGAAAGATGAACCGCATTGTAATATTTCTAACGTTTCTCTCGAATAACGGCGGAATTCAACCACATGTGTCAGTTTAAAGGGGCGCCGAGTCTGGAAGGAGAAGCAGCGGCCGCGCGCTCTGCGCCAAGAGCAACGGCGACATTTACGCACAAAACGCGACCAACACGACATAACTGTCAATGAATTCCTCATCTGTTTGCACAGTGGAGCCCAAATCGGGCTGTGTTTTAATAATAATAACAATTGAGTTGAAGTAACCTTGTTATAAACTCATATTGGAAATATCACAATTTTATCATGGAATCACTGTACCAATAATACTTTAACAAAAATGTCTCATTTATGTCACAATCTATGGAATCAGGCTGCGTCCCACATACGGTACATACACACCCACGGCCCCCCGCGAGGCTCGTGCGCGTCAATGAAGGCGTTCTCACCCGGTGGTTCTGGTACGCCGTGACCGCCGTGAAGCGCGTTTCCTCGAACACAAATGTTTTGTAGTTCTCCTCGGCATACTTCTCGCTGTCCTTGCGGGGGTCCACGTACACCACGTGGAACCTGGGCTGGTAGCGGTGCATGGAGTTTAGGATGATCTGTACAAAGCAGAGGGTTTATCAGCACATGTATGATGCCAGGGTGAGCTGGAGGCCTCCGCTCCAATAGTCGGACATGTTCCACCGGAATAGTTTTATTTCGGGGTTACAAATCAGATAGAGTAAAATATGTATTATGGTTTTAACAACAACCGAGCCACTCTAAACCTAACGATGAGCTCATTTGCTAAATATTAGAATGTTATCCATGAATTTGGTAATTCGGCATTACGCGCAGAGTTCACTTACTTGGTGTATTGTGCAGACAATTGGGAATGTTAATCCACAAGGTTTACATGTAAAAACCATGCACCTGCAGCACAATACTCATTTAAAAGCATAAAATCTCAAATTTACCCCCATTTCCACCCAGCAGACATCGCTTCAAACGTTTCAATATTTTCTAGAAATACAGCCCAGAACTCAAAGATCTCTCGTTTTCTTTATCGTTACTATGCAATGACATAAACACCCTGACAGAGGCGTAAAGGGCTTAAACGTTTCTCCAGTGGTGAAATGTTCCACTTCCCCGCCGTTATTCTTGGAGTAAACCCTGAGGTGCGGTGCCATCTTTGTGGGTAGAAAATAGGCTACCGGCTAAATCCGACGAGTGGTGAAAAGAAAAATCAAAAGTTTTTAACACTCAAAGTGCTTGAATGTGTCAAATGAGGGCGAACACTATATGCCGTTAATCCAATGATAATGTTGCATTTGGACTGTGAATTATGAGTTTAATGCAGTCCCAGCTGTGTGTTTTGAGGTGTCGTTAAAAGTAATGCGGCTCTCATCTATGCTAAATTTAAAAAAAACTCAGTTATTCAGTGTTTTTTAAGCCTTTGGTCTATACGGTAAAATTAGGTTATACTATTACACACACCGTGATACGTGTTTTGTAGTTTCTGTTTCATGCAGTCCAGTTGTGCACTCACATGTCCGTTGTCATCCAGCAGGTTGTTGGTGAGTTTCAGTTTATCAAAAGAGACGATCTGCTTCATCCACTGCGCGCCTTTGGCCGGAGAGTCCGGGTGGTAGTGGACCCTGCCCGGCGTGGCGGGGTCCGCCTTACCGGCGACCAGCCACGACGAGCTGTGGAAGGCATACCTGACCGGAAAGAAGGGTCGTTAGGAGAAGAAAAAAAAAAAAGATTCGAACTCTCCGATTTTATTTTCAACAACAAAAGTCACCTCACGCATCGACGCGCGAAGCGACGTAAAGACGCTACAATAACATATGACCGTGTCCAACGTCAGCGTAATAGTTATCCACGCATTTCAGCCGTGGATATGCCAACTGTGAACTATTGATATTGATTGATCTGAGGCTATTTATGCGTTTGTAATTTCTTCTTATTTAATTTGAAATTCAAAAAAATATGAGTTGCCTCCACGTTATTTTTACGAAGCGACAGACTTGTGTGAGAAAGTCACCTGTAACGTTTGTCGTCTACTGGCAGGAAGTCCATCAGGAGCATGTAGTCAGCCATGGGATCCATCCCAAATATCTTCACTTGAAAAGTTGGAAACATTCTCCTGGTTAAGACAAAAAAAACGAGAAACAAAAAACGTTAAATAAATAGGCTTTAAATGGCTGATATTGCTATTTGAATTTCGCCAGGGGAGCCAACAAATGATGTTGCCAAAGTATTATTCATAAAATGTTTCCAAGCGTGTTTGCGGAGAGACGAGCTGCTCCAGGCCTTTGCGGAGCTTAAATCTGTCCCGAGCTGAAGCGATCCAGGCCGTGCTAAAACTCTGCCCGCATCCGAATGGACAATCGGGTTTGTTTCCTTTTTCTACTCGAATTGTAGGACTTCTCACAAGACGCTTTGACTTCTCTTCTGCTGTTTTGACGACTTCCAGACACACGAAGGCCAATACACACATCCCAGACGTAGTGGAAACACTTACGCGCGCGTATGGGCGTTATTTGGGCAAATACGAGGTGTGGCAATAAAGTCGAGGCGAGTTTCGAAACTTTTTTTTTTTTTTATCAGGGAGGGAAATGAAAATATCCTGCAAACACACACACACACACAAGCACACACACACACACATATATATATATATATATATATATATATATATATATATAAAATACAAGATCAAATTAGAGGCAATTACCTCTATTCATTATTGGTCTCTTGGATTCTACCTGCAGGTCCCTTAGGGGGGCACATCCAAGACCACCGGTGGTAAATTGAGTAATACGCAAAGTCAGTGAGAGGGATCTTAAAACCGACGCTCAATTAGCGTCAGTGTCGTGGCTAGGTGAGGCTGAAGGAGCTCCTAAAGTGCCCCGCTGCAGATCCCCTTTCTCTTGTTAGACAGCGCTGAGGCGGGAGGGGGGGGGGGGGCAGTTATGGGGGGACGCGGCCCTCACCAGTGGGATTAAAACAATTGTCTCATAGATTATAGGGGAAAACTCAGGACGACATTTGGAGACGTGACTGTTTGAAAATGACACTATTCTAATAGGGTGACGTTTGATGGGCTTTCCCCAGGTGTCAGAGGTCAAATCGTTGCTGTTGATTATAAGCACGCAATATAACCAACTATACGTTCGGATTTAACCTCTTTCTAAAGTAAAATTAGGCCAAAATTGAACATCAGATATCTTTACGTGCTCATAATCTGTTGTTTTTTTCTAATTCATCTGTGTGTATCTGTGCAATCTATTAATGCATATATATGTGTGTGTTTTGTTATAAGGAGGGAAGCACACAGATGCTCCTATAATGAGGGAATGGTAAACAGGTAACCGCACTGTGCATGCACGGGAGCGGATCTCTGCTCAAACACACGCAAACACTTCCATAGATAAAAGGCCACAATGTTCCATTTAACGAGCGGCGCGTAAATTGAGCCTGACGGGGTGAAGGAAACCAGCTGAGAGCCGCAGTTATTCTCATTGGGTGGATAAAACGCTGCACACCAGCACGCTGTTTACAGCTGATTCTATAGCAGCACACATGCACGCCTCCATGTGCTTGACCTCGTCTTTAAAGATCACCAGCAGCGCATTATACGTATTGAAGCCGAACGCGTTCATTCCTTGAATTAATCCGACATATTTAGTATAGTGTGCAAAACGTGGATTTCTGTTTACTTGTATAATGTTATACAGTTTGGGCAGTCTGGGCCTTAAATATGGAGCTTAAATTAAGAAAAACAACATTTGAACTGCAAATAGTGAGAAAAATGGGACAGTGTGAACTCCGAAAGAAGAATAAATTTGCTATATTTTTATCAAACTCCTTTATCCTCATTTGGACGTATTGGTAATTTTCCGTTGCGTTAAAATAATTCACAACTAAATCCAATATATGATTATTGCATATCTGATTTAAGTCAGCAGCATGCACACATCTATATTGTTTGGCACTATAAAGATTCTCTACTCTTTAGTATTTAACCATAAATCCACTCGTTTTGCAGTGTGTTATCAGTGCTCACCTGCCGGCCTTGGTGACGATCATCTCCGTGCCCAGCTGATTGAACTCGTCCCATAAAGCCTTCATCTCCAGCTGCACGTTAATGTTGGCCACTTTGGGGTTCTTCTTCACTATAGTTTTGCCGTTCGGCGTGGAGTTGGCGGACGACGACGAGCAGTTGGGAGTCCCGCCGTCGCTCGACGGGGCCTGGCCCGGGTTAGATCCCGGGTAGCTGTAGTTGTGCTGGGCCGCCGGGCAGGGCTCGAAGTGGGGCTCATGTTGGCTGTAGGGGTCCCCGGGGGACGGAGAGAGGTGGTAGCCCCCCGGCGTGTTCAGGCTGTTCAGGCTGCTCGTCGTGAAGGCTGCAACATCGCAAAAATGGGACAGCTGCGTCAGCCACGGACTGGATATGGCTGAAATCATCCCCAAAAACACTGGATTTACTCAGTACGCCGCGCGCTTTTGAGTCGATCAGAACGCGGGCAGGCAAACGCGCCGGCGGGATTCGGCGATCTCCAGGTGGAGGTGTCGGTCTGAAGGTTTCCGTCTGGGCTGCTCGATAATCCCTGCGTGCGGATCCGCTGCCCGCGCGCGCTACATAGTCTGCCTGATCTAAAACGGCGACCGTGCGAAAACGTTACTAAATGTCTCCAGCCCAAGCTGCAGTGCTCGCGTAGAATCGCTCAACTAGCCGCAAACAAGCCTCGCGTGGGTGCGTGCGTGCGTGCGTGCGCGCCAGTGAGTGAGTGCGTTCTCGCTTTGGATCGGGTGCGCTCGGAGCGGCCTCTGCTGTGCGCTGCTGCAGTGTGTCACACTGCAACCCAGTCTCCTCTCTTATCTGACACAGGGGGAGGGGGGGGGGGCGGCCTCCCCTTTGCGATAAAACCGGTTCTTATTTCTATTTAGATAAGGAACTGCAGGTAATGCGCCTTTTCCTCGCCCTGGGACGAGACGTGAGTGACAGAGAAGTGCGCCCCTTTTTAATAGGCTTTCCGGCACCCATTTAACTTTTTGGATGGGGGGGTATCGCCCACATCACCCCCGTTTGCAAACAATAGAGGATCTGGCCGGCCGAGTGGAGCGTAAACGAGTCGCACTGTAAACACAACTTGATTTTGCATGAACAAACAAGCAGCAGGTTGACTTGTTGCTTCCTCGTCGTTGGACACATCGATCAATCGAATGGATTATACAGCTCATCGCCGACCTGGATATTATCATTATGGTCTGTTTCTACCATGACGCACAGGGTGCCCTCGCAAACCCTCCTTCTCTTGGGTTTGTTTTTAATAAATATAATCCTCTACACAACTTTTCCTATCTGTTTTTTTAAAATAGTAAACTTTGTTTCCATTCCGACTTCTCACCAGACTTCTCCTTGATAGTAATTATACTATGATTTAATTTGCCTCCATTTTTTTATAGTTGGCCAACTGTGTCGGATTTTTTAATTTTTTTTTAAATTTATTTTGCAATCATTTCATTCACAAATGTAAAGCAGCGCTAATATATATATATATATGTGTGTGTGTGTGTGTGTGTGTTTTATTTGTATTAAACCGAGCAGATTCCAGAGACGTGTACACTGCGTGCTATAGTGCAACGCCATAGGGTTTACCTTCCATTTCCCGGGTGACAGTGCTGTAGTGCATGTTGGAGGAACTGTGGTTGCGCAGGTCTGGCTCGTCCAGGCCGGTGCTGTGTTTGTCAAACGCCGCGTTTCCTGCTCGCTCCGCTACCGAAACCAGAGAGGCGATACGGAACGCGTTCGCCTTCGGAGAGAGAGGACCGCCGTCGTCCATAAGCATAAGGGACCGACTCGCGAAAAAGTCCCTTCCCAACGCCTCCGCTTTCCGACCGCCACAGAAAAGCAAGGTGGAGGCTCCGCACAACAACGGAGAGGAACATGCGCCCAAAGCGGCGCTTTCACGATCCGCCACCGGCGCTCCGTCTGGGGGCATAAAACACTTTTCAGAGCGTTTCCGCGGCTTATAGTCAAAGTGCGAACTTCTCTCCGGACTCAGATCCAAACACGTCCCGGCGCCAAATCATCGCCAGTTCATCCTCGAGGAATTGCGCGACAGAGCTTCTTCACCCCCCCCCCCCCTACCCCCCTTTCGCCTCTGGTCGGCGGCGGGGTGGTGCCATCCTGGGTCTTGCATCGAGGAGAAGCGACTACTGCTACGAGAATGCCCAAAAGTGAGCGAGATCCACGCCCTCCCCGCCGCACTAGCAGAGGGGGGGGGGGCGTCAGTGCTGGATGTTTTATTTCAATAAGACATCGTGTCAGTCGTTTGAATCCAATTCCATCGTCGTTGCAACGTCCGGATTCAAAGTGCGCTCCTCTCGCACTAACTTATGGGCCCGTACGCGTTTGCATATTTCAGCTGTCGGAAGCCCACGCAGAGCTGCTCCCGGCCCGAGTCGCACCGGGGACTGCAGTGCGAGTCTTTTACGCAAGAGTTCACTCTGGAAATGTAGATTTCCTTCAAACGTTGCTGGTAAAAACAAAGAGGAAGGGGAAGTAAATGCCTGCAGTTCATTCGGTATCAATGCGGCGGGCTTTCCCCCAGTTGCTCATCGCGCATGAATATTCTTCCAATTCAAGCAGATAAGAACATATGGATGAAATGCAGTCAAGCAAAAAAAAATGGTTTAGTACTTTACTAAATAGATATTCAAGGGGTAGGGTATATACAGCTTTCTAGACTCAGAAAGACGCAGGCATACCGCCTTCGGTGCACTCAGTAAACACAGGTCATTCTAACACACGTGGCACTTCAGACCCGAGCTGGACTTGACCTCTGCGCCGTGCGCATCCACTATCGCCTTGTTGCCTCTCAGCTTATCGAGGTCCAGCTTTTAATGTGCGCCAACCAAAGCTGCGTTTTGTGGGAGCTGCACTGCGCAGGGCGACCGGATAGTCTAATTTACACCGGGGTCATTGAATTACGCGCGAAGGCATCAACGGGATGAAGCAGTTAGTGGATTAACCCAAGGCTATTTGTTTTGAATGTTTCTCCATGGGAGGCCGGCAGCGTAAATAAACTACTGCAATGGTTTACTGATACAATGTTGTTGAGGGCAAATGGATGGATGTATATGGGTGGTTAGACAGATTGTTACATATGGTATGATATGGATACGTGGATACAGGCGATGGAGTTGGATATGTATTCGGATATGTGGATAAATAAATAAAGACAGAGGTACATCTGTCAATATAGATATGTTCTGTGGGTGAACCGATAGTGGCATGAGAGATGGCTGGATAGATTAAGCCTCTGCGCAGTATACATATATATATTATACTTTGTATAGGAAATCCTGGCCCAGTCAAAGTCAGCGTAAACCTGACGCCCTCTGACTGCAGGTCTTCTTTTAAATCAGATATGATGCCATCGATACCGACTCACTTCATCATTGCCAAGTCGGAAGCGTCCTTTGTAAATACTCAGGTGCTAACAGACAAAATACAGGAGCGGATCAGAATGGGAAGAGACCGTGTTGGGATTCGCTCGAAGGCCTCAGCAGCGGAGCCGTTCAACACTGTTATGGACACAATCCCACTGACTTCTATAGGCGCAAAATTAAACGAAAAAAAAAGAAATCCTAACAAACAACCAGCCGATTTTTAACTCCATTTAATAAGTGTGTTACTTCATCTTAACGATAAATTGTATAGAATACAAGCAGCTTTACAATAGTTGTATTATTTATGCTTCTAAAGGACATGATTTATCTTATTTGTAATCTCTTTACAAGATCCTATCCTGGAGAATTTATAGTCACATTTGACGTGACACCAAAATGAGCAAACTAGCCCTCAGTGATCCGAGGACACATGCGGGGGGACAGAACACCGTCCGCGAATCCACACAGAAGGACGTTGCCATGCGTTTTGTAATATTGCAGTCATGTTGCTGACTTACTTTTACAGTTGATTGCATTGGAAAGTTGGATATGAATTTCTAGTAGAACATTCTTATAAAAAAAAATAATTCAAAGGGGAAAGCAATTAAGGGAAAGATGGCTCCTCGTGCCACTATAGCCGCGGGCTTTTACGCACTTAAATCCATAAACGCATATTGATAGAAATAGAAAACTAATCGGTCTGACTCTATTTGTTTATTTGTGTGTCAGTGACACATTTTGACACCCATTCTGCGACACAAGGACCCCGTGGATGCACTTGGTCTTCCGAGGCTTCTTTCCATCAGGCCCGTGTGGTCCTGTTGCTGCACGATGGCAAATCACCAAATCAAAACAGAAAAACATAAATAAACCTCCCACTCACGTCTCAGAAATGCCACAGATCTCGTGGATGTCGAGGCTGGTTCGCCTGTTATTTATGTATTATTCAAATTGTCAGTGGCCCATATTCGTGAGGCCTCGTTGACGCGGGGTCTTACTTATTCTCTCCCTCTTGCTCCTCCGACGCACAGCATCCGGATCTCCTTTGACATTTTCATGCTCGTGTTGTGGAGGTATTTATTTCACCAATCTTTAATTTAATGAGCTTGACTTATAACATTATTCACCCACGTAACTTAACAGATAATAAATCACGGGTCATTCTACACAAAGCGGAAGATTTCCACATCCATGTCGCGTGAATGGAGCAGCGGGGACCGAGGCCTATAAAACCCCATCCTCTGTAAATATTGGTGTAAATCCCAGAATAAGAGGGAGAGGAAGCGATCAGTTGACCGCTGACAGCGGAGGGCTCGGCGCGGGGCGTCCCCCTCTCCCCCCGCTCTCCCCCGCTCTCCCCCTCTCTCCCCCCTGTCTCCGCGGGGCTTTCGGAAATGTACGCAGAGAAGCAGGTATGCAGAAGGGCCTCGGGCTGTTGGTCGTCATGCGGCAAAAAAATGCAAATACAAACTTTCCACATTTGGAAGAAAATTAAATTCAGCAATGAGTTTGATTCGTTGTCAACATTGAATTTACACCTTATGATGAACGGAAATAAGAAAAGAAGAAAAGAAGAGAAAAAGATTGAGTGATCTTATTGCTAATATTTCTTTTAAGACAAATACATAGATTTTATATTCTAAAATATATCAAAGCATCAGTTAAAAACCATTGGACGCTATTGTATTTATTTATTATTTAATTATATGATCCCTCATAAAATTGCAGAGAACTGCGTTGAATATTAACCCTTAAAATGTCCTTTAAATAACATAATTAATTAATAAATTAATATTAATCACTATATTCCACTATAGTAAAAATAAAATATCATTTTTTTTCACTTCATGTCCAGAGTTGAGTTTTACCTCAAAGCTGTCTAATTTAATCGGTTGATTTAATTTGTGAACACCTTAATTATCTCCTTCGCTAGAAGAAATATCAATATATTTTCCCGAAATGAAATATCCACACAAAACGTCCAAACATTTTACCACAGTGATGAATACGTGTCCGATGTCTATTTGTTATTAAATATTGTTTACGCTATTTGCAATTTAATTCCTCTCATCTGTCGTTCAGTGGTTTGTTGATGTTTAGACTTTTTAACGCGGTGTTGGTTGGTCGCCATCGTGAATAAATAAAAGATCGCTATAACGGTGATTAGGGTCGCTGTAATGTGCCGATGAGCACACGGACATACGACGTGATCACAGTGCACACTGAGTTTATTTGCATTTGCGTTCTGCATATTTAGAACGTGCCAGATCGCACAAACGGATCGGACGTGGTGCTCTCATTGTACAGATGGTTGCAGATCCACATCTTCCTTCGACAGCCGCGTGCAAAGGCGACAGTAATCCTACATTTCATTTCAACAGATAAAGTGATAAAACAAACATCACGGCGATGTAAGATACTCAAATACCATCAAATCAAAATGAAATCATTTACAGATCTATCATTGTCTTTGCATGTGATTTTGAATGACCTACCTTTAGGGTAGCAATGTTTTCAATAACGTTTTATAGGGGATTTATTTGACTTATTAGAATGTTTGCTTCTGGTAAAACGTCACATGGGACTTTCTCTATTTTTTCTTTTTTTAAATACAAGAAAAATTGGACCCAAACACATTTCCTTGTTGGCATATAAATGTGGTTTTCCTGTTCAGCCCTGCTGTCTTTGTATTTCGGGGTCTTCATAAAAAGGACATGTGCATAAAAACACAATGGAAATGAACACAATGGATGGCCAAAGGTTAAAATCATGATTCCCTTGTGTCTCTCTGAGCAAAATTCCACCATTTATTCCCACACATTGTTAAAACATGGGAAACAGGCGGCAGGCTCCATCTCTTAATATTATTCACTGAAAAAAATCAAACGAGTTACCGCAGGGAATAGCATGCTTTTTACATGAAAACAATTTCATTAAATGTTTTTCCTTTGACATTTGGTTCCTCTCAGTTAATCTATTCATTACAACACCCAATGTGAAATGTTATACTGTATGTTTTCCTCTTTCTCCTCATTTATTCTGAGGTTTGTCGACTCCACCTTTTGTCCCAGCCGACGTGCAGAAATCAGAAATAAAAAATAAAGAAAAGAACAATTTGACACCCCCATCCCACGCCCCTCTCTGCAGTTGTCTGGGAAGATGTGTGCCAATGCTATTTGTTTATTTTGGGAAGGAAGGTCCTCTCTCCGCATGTCTTGAGTTAACGAATATAGGCCTGACAGCTGCCAACTGTGCCCTTCAACAGCCTCCGTGCAGCCTGGCCGATGAAGCCTTGACACACGGCTTCCCTCCGCCCCACAACACCTGAAGCAACACTGTTGTTATCATTAAGTTATCATCCAACTAGCTGAGCACTTTCTGTTATTAAGACTCTCGTAATAGCGCATGCAAATTGAAAGTGATTTCTTTATTCCATCTGGACGGGCCACGTGTGTTTTTCTTTATTTACAGTCAGTTGCAGTTCAAAATATTCTTTTCTTATCAGTATTCATCAAGTTGAATTTCTCATGGAAAAAACTGAGAGAGAGCAAAACTGTTTGGAATGTGTGTGTGAGACATTGGAAAGGTGGGGGGGTTAAAGTCAGATCCCTTTTCAAAATCACTTCTTCTCTTTCCCTCCCGTCTTTGTCTTAAAACTGGGATGCTTTTAGCTTTTGAAAGGTATCCTTTCCCTATCTGTTGCGCGGCGGCCCCAGTCGTCATCACCTCGCCTCTCCTCGCGGCCCTATTGGACCGCCGCTAAATAGCTAGCATTCCTGCCACAAAGAACCGATGATGTGGGCTCGGGGCCTCCGTGATCTACCGAAATTAATTAAGGCCTTTCTCCTCCCCCCCGAGCAGGATCCGCAGCCTTTGTCTCCCTAATACATCTTAAGCCCGGTATTAAATACAAGGGTAGAGTCTATGCTCATTATAAATCTGTCAGTGCCTGCCACACTTGGCTCTTCTCGGGCCGGGCCCGCGAGCCTAAAGAGGCTTCGGGGTAGCAGAGAAGCCACCCTCCGGTCTGGCCCTCGCCCATTGCCTCCTCCTTATCTTCCGCCCCTCCATGCTCCCCACTGGCTTGGTATTTATTTGAATATGAGAAGGTCTGCTTGTTGTTTCTGGCAAAGAAGGGGGGTGGTTGGGGGGGCTTGAGGCTGAGACCCCCCCCCCTCCTCACTGCCCCATGCCCGTCAACCCCCACTACCCCCATTTCTCTCGTCCCTGCAGCCCTCGTTCCATCTGTCCCTCTTCAGCCACCATGGCCGTTTCACTCTGCAGCCTTTGTGAACTTGAACCACAGACCTCTATAGTCAAAGGCCATTACAAACGGCCCCACTGCGCATGTGTGTGTTTAAGTGCATGAGTGCATATCCCATTAACAACTTTCACTAGCAGAAATTAATAACTGGGAGCAGAGGTAAAGGGCATGCCAGCGGACGGCCAAGGTTTACGTTTTCTCCTCCAAAAAACTCGGCTGGGTGAATATTTCCTTTCGAGCCACTCATTAAAAGCACCTTTCTGCGGCTGATCGTGTTTCTTCCGGTCGTCCTTTTCCCCCCTTTAGTCTTCTCAAAGAAAGGCCCCCGACTGAAAGCGTCTCCAATTTGAAACGCTGAGGGTGTTTAGTGGAGTTTTAACGTGGCGATTCGTTCTGTGACAGCAGGCTCGGGATCGCCTCTTACCAGCAGCAGGAAGCGGATAACATGTCCATTAGCGAAACCCCCACACCGACCCTATAAACAGTGAAATTAGGGGATCAGAGGCGTGCAGAGATTTGACCTTGAGGAATGCCGATACTCCACCCCTGGCTCCGAATGTGCAGCAGAGGAGACAGGAAAATGAGCCACAATGTGGCATATTGTTTGGCCGTACCGCCGATTTGGGTTGATGGGAACTATCGGGCCTTCCTGTGCTCCTCTTCCAAGATGAAGAAGCAGGAAGTCACGCTGGAGGTAAACAATGTGCAGAATGCAGCTGATACCAAAGACTGGAATTGGCACCCCCATCATTCCTGTTGGCATGGCTCTCTAGATAGTTGATAATGGACACAGCGCCCACCAAACACCCGGCGTCCATGTTGGAAATATTTCCCCGCCTTAGAAGATGTTTACATTCGCAGCGTGGCTTAGTGAGAAATGACCTACAGACTTCCTCTGGCGGAGGGTTTGCTTGCATCAACCGTTCCTCGGATCGTAGGCCGGGCTTCAGGTCACAGATCTGGCTCTGTGCGTTCTGTCGCTGAGTCACTTGAAGAATCTGGGGAAAAGCAGCCTCCACCAATCGGAGCGGGCGCTGGGGCGGCCTGATACTGATTGCAGCGATTCATCATGTCAGGCTCTCCCTGCCACCACTTGTTTATTTTGATCTCTTCCTCTCCGGCACGGTGACAGTGAAAGATGAGGGACCATGTGGCAGGTCCGGCACTGAGCCGCACCGGCGCACAAGAAGCACCTCGCAGTCCCGGCGCCGGGCTCTGTGCACCGGCACGCCGCGCCATTTTGCGACGCGTAAACAGCGAGCTCAGGGAGCGGGGGAGATTTAACCGGCTGGCTAATTGTCGACCCCAAAATGTAACTTTAGGTGGTGGGGGGATTAAGGCTTGTTGACTTGTGTTCACTGGGGGGCTAAACCGACACTCCGTTCCCCCAAAGCGGACAGTTCCTGAAACCCCCTGGAGTTGGCCGGGGGGGGGTCTGGGTCACATTAAGGGGTACTGTGTGGCCTGCTAAGGCATGGCCACATGACCAGCTACTCTAAAACAAGCACTGCTGTGTCCATAATGTCAAACACTTCCTCCATCTGCATCCATTAGCCGGCATCGGAGGTGGCTATAGGAACGTTTGAGAGCCGAAGGAAAACAAAGGGCCCAGAGATTACAGGGTCCTCGTATAATGAAAGAGTTCCCTCGGCTATTGTACTGGAGCAGTTTAAAAAAAACAACCCAAGGAAATATTGATGAGCCTTTCTGTTGGCATTAAGTAGCATTTTTTCAGTCAAACATTTTTTTGCATAAATAGTATTATGGAATAAATTTCAAACAATATTTCTGGCTCATTTAAAATAAACTCTAAATATACATCATATCTAGAAGTTGATGTATAGTACGGATTTTATTTTTAGCTTTGACTTTAGCTTTTCATAGATGCATGCAACCTTATTATTACATCTGAAAAGCTTCTTTGTTGCCATTCCAGGTTTCTGATTCAAATAATCTAATATGTACAATCATTTCAGAATTGTTGTTGTTGCACTAAACAAAGGCTGCATTCTGAGATTTATAAAACTTAATTGGTTCTTCAGAAAATAATATCACACGTCTTCCAGAATATTTCCAACTACTTAATTTTATTCAAGAAATCATGGAGAAGACATGAAAATAAAACGGTAAATTACTCGTAAAAGTTGTCTAAATTAACCTTGCATTTACGCTACAGTCTACAATGTGACATCTACATTCTTAAATAATGTATTTCTTTAATATTTTTAAATGGACAAAATTCCAAATTCCCCTTATTTTAATTAAAAAGAAATCAGCATGTCATTAAAAAGAAAAGTTTTTAGCAATGAAAAGGTACCATAGAAATAATAAGCAAAAAGCTGTTACCATCATGAAACTTGTTTCATGGTGTTTTGTGAGTCCTGATGACACAACTCCCTCTAACCAGAGAGAGACTTAAAATGTCCAGTGCTCTTCGGGTCCAGTTGTGTCTGGCGCAGTTTTTAAACGTCTTTATTTACATTCGCGGGTATTCCGCGGGCCCCTATCGTGCTCCCCCACGCTGTAAAACACGGAAGGACCCTCTGACAGATGAAGCAAGCAGCACGGACGGGCAGGAATCCTTCTCGTCATGCGTGTTAGAGCAACCCCTCATGTGGCCTATACTTGGAGAGGGCCTGAACGTTGGAGCGAACTGGAAGTGGAAAAAAAAATAAAAAATAGCCCCAGTGTTTGGGTCTGATTTCTCAGCTCATTAATCTTGACTGCAGCCGCACGGTGCGTCTCGCAGGCCGGCATATTTTTCAGCCAGCTTGAATGTAATGATATTTATTAGAACATGTCTTCGCTTGCAGTCCGTCTCTTACCGTATCTGACGTCATTGTCCTAGATTCCGTGTCGTGTTTACATAGACTGAGGCGGAGACTCATCTACATTGTTGTCTTTCTTTTCTTTTGCGTAAAAGGTTTTTTTTTTTTTTCTTTAACCCTTTTGTCTGATTGAAAGTTGAAACAGTTTTGCTTACCTGGCCATGAATCATCATGATTTGGAACGTTATTGAACACCTGTGAGCCTTTGTTCATACGGGGGAATCAAACAGACTAGTTTTAACACGCTTATTTGTAGGAATAATAAAAAAAAGGAGCTCTTCTGTATTGCTGACCTATCAGCATAACAATAATAATAATCAAAACTTTTCAATAATAATTTAGGATTTTCTTGTCACAAAGTAATTTATTTAAATCAGTGAACCACATTTTAAAACAACTGCCATACTATTTATCAAAGGGTTTCTCCGTCCATCTGCAAAGAATAATGACTGCTTCTCCTGCTTAGTAGCACATTAAACCATGTTTGACTGCAGAGGCGGTAGAGTAAGTGTCTCTGTGTGTCTCTTTCCTACTGGCCTTGGAAAAAGCAGTAGCTCCACTGTGTGGTTTGCTAGTGTAAGAACACCTGGCACTGCAGGGGGAGACGTGGGCATTTGGGCGAGAAGACATGAGCCGGACAGCAGGAGGTGGGACTTTTAATACCGTGATGAGGCACCGACATTAATACATCAATACGTGCCAAGTCAAATGTAGCTTCCACTTAATTGGATCTGACACACCCGGATTCTTGTTGCATTTCCTCCCCCAGGTTTAACCCTTAGTCTGCGCTGTTGTTGTTGAAAACACACCTAGAAAAGAGTCTGTCATCGCCTGTGACTCGTCATGTGACTTATGACAACAACGTCCCCAAGACACACACGCAGACACACACACACGGCAGCATACAGGAATTACTATACGGCCGAAAACAATTACTCAACTTGTGGTTTTCCACTTTCCATTTCAAGTTTCTGTGATTTTTAACCAACCTGACGCACACGTACAAACATTAATGCCCACATGCAATTGAAGACCCTTGCTCACACACACACACACACACACACACACACACACACACACACACACACACACACACACACATACACACACACACACACACACACACACACACACACACGCGCACAGTTATCTGGTTGGAGGCCGTTCGGTTCAAGTTGATGTTTAGGGTGAGGCGTGATTCTGCGTAGCTTCAGAGGCGGCCTAATGCAGGATCAGGTGTCTCCGACCGTATCGGATGGCTGCGTGGAGTGGATGGATAGCTTCAGCTACATCTGTCCTCTCTGGACACTGGACCCCTCCGTCTTCCAAATATTTACCTGACACGTCTCTGTGGGTGGTGGCCTATGCAAAGAAACATGTATACACACATTCACATTGATGGATTTTTTTGTATACAGATAAACACACAGCTTTTTTTGTGTGTTTTGAAAGCCAATGTGGATGCTATTCATTCCAGTATTTCCCTGTAAACAAAAATGTGTGGAAAATACTTTGCACATTTGAGGAATGAACTATTGGGAATGTTATAAATCCACTAAAATAGCATGCAGGTCATCACGGGAGTCCAAAACGGCCAACTACAAATTCACATAAGTTTCCAATTGAACCTCCACTACTATTAATTGCTAAACACACTTGCTGATAGATGCTTTTACCTGCACACATGGTTAAACACAGCTCCATTCCCTTTTCAGGCCTCATTGGTGTTGACACTTTGAAGTTGTCGGCTGCCCTGTTTACTGATGCAAATTAGCAGGTACGGGACCTTCAGAGGAGCAGAGAGCGTGGCAGCTTCGTGGGTGGTGGGTCCTCCTTTTGACGACGGACCCCTACCATCCATTCCCCTCTCAATCTCTAACCCCCCCTCCCCCTGTGAAGGAATGCTTTCAGCTGGGCTCACCTGGTTGAAGTGAGGCCCGTGGATGCTGAGGGGAGTGGAGCTCCGTCGGGGTCTTGTCATACCAGCTGGCCTGCAGCAGCTTGGCACCCCGGCGCTAGAATGGAGGGTTGTTCATCGGTATGTTCTTGCTTACATTTGCTCTCTGCTCTCTGAAAAGCATCCAATCTCGAAATCGTTGATTTAAATGCTGCCTTTTTTGTGACTAATGGAAAATCTTCCATTGGTCGGGAAAAAAAATCTATGCACTGCATCAAATTAAGCATTTCAAAGTCAGGCTGAAGCTGAAGACAGGGTTGCTCATAAAACGTTATGTTTCTCAAAAGTAGACAATTTATTTTGAATAAATTATTCCAAAATTTGTGTAATTTTCAATTACATTTGAGTTATCACATCATCAGTTTTCAAAAAACCTTTCACCATTTTCTTTTATTTTCAGTTATTGAGGTTGTGCGGGACACAAACAAAGAGAAAACGGCGTCAATATGAATATATATATACAAACAAACACATTAATGCAGCAGGAATATTAATCCAGAAACATCAGGTATAAAAGCATGTTTTCAATGCATGACTTTTATTTTATTTTTTAGTGATACAACTACTTCTGTGAATGATGTGAGTACTTTCTCCACACTCCCTTCCTGAGGGGAGGAGAATGTGAAAGTAAACTTAGTGTGAGTGACGCAGAGCTGCAGTCCAGATGAGTTTCTCTCTAAAGAAACAACTAAATCCACTAGCTTTTCATCAACGATCTGCGACAAATTCTGGTGAGTACGCTGCTCTACAAAGACTAGATACATGAACTAAACTTGTGCTCCGAGTTTAGTTCAGACCACAATCTGACTGTTGGACGTCTGCTTTTATCAAATTAAGAACATTAAGTTGTAGAAATGTGTAATTTGAGATAAAACATCAGAGGTAGAAACCAAACCACAGAGACGTAACTTAGTTAAAGTGAGACAGAACCCAGTCACAGATAGCATTAGCTTAAGCTAACTAACACACACCTACTTCCTGGTTGGACTTCAGACTTCAGCTCCGTCCAGACAGGAAGTTCCACTCAGGGTAAAAGTTTGGTTCAGCGCCACCGTCGGTCATAGTGGTTGTAAATATAAAAACCAGTGCTGGGCACTGGCACACTTTACATATTGTGCTTTTTAGCAGCAGTATTCCCTTTACACTGTTAAACTATTTACTGTAAATCTCAACTTAGAAATGTATACATATATTATTATGTTTATATTATTTTTTTCTGTTCAGGTTCCAGCAGAAACAAGTTTCTTTTATCAGGGAGCAGCATAAACGTTCTCTGCTCAGTAGTTGTGTTATTTGTTATTATTAATTAATTAGTTAAGGTTCTACTAATCATAGTTTGAATTTGTAAAACAAATAATCAAAAGATATGTAATAACAGTGTTGTTTCTCCACACTTGTCCTCAGAGTGTCGATATGTCTGCTGCCAGCTGTCTGCTGACTGAAGATCAGTTCCTGTGCTCCATCTGTCTGGACGTGTTCACTCATCCAGTCACCATTCCATGTGGACACAACTTCTGTAAAGCCTGCATCACCGGCCACTGGAACGTTAATGCCCCGCCTAACTGTCCCAACTGTAAAAAGCTTTTCTGCACCAGACCTGAGCTGCAGGTCAACACGTTCATCTCTGAGATGGCTGCTCAGTTCAGACTGTCAGCTCAGCAGAAAGCCAGCAGCAGCAGCTCAGAGCAACGAGCTGCCCAACCAGGAGAAGTTCCATGTGACGTCTGCACTGGAACCAAAGTGAAGGCCCTCAAGTCCTGCCTGGTGTGTCTGGTCTCCTACTGTGAGGCTCACCTGGAGCCTCATCTGACTACGTCAGGTCTGAAGAAACATCAGTTGATGGACCCTGTGGAGAACCTGGAAGGCAGGATGTGTACGAAGCACGATAAACTGCTGGAGGTGTACTGTAAGACCGACCAGATGTGTGTCTGCATGCTCTGCACTGTTGCAGACCACAAGAACCATGATGTTGTTCCTCTGAGAGAAGAATATGAAGGGAAGAAGGAAGAGCTTGGAAGGACTGAGGCTGAAGTCCAGCAGATGATCCAGAAGAGACTACTGAAGATTCAGGAGATCAAACACTCAGTGGAGCTCAATGAGGAAGCAGCAAACAGACAGGTAGCAGAAGGTGTCCTGGTCTTCAGCACTCTGAAGGAGTCTGTTGAGAGAAGCCAGGCGGAGCTCATCAACAGTATCGACGAGAAGCAGAGAAAGACAGCGAAACAGGCTGAAGGCTTCATCAAAGATCTGGAACAGGAGATCTCTGAGCTGAAGAAGAGAAGCACTGAGGTGGAGCAGCTCTCACACTCTGAAGACCACCTCCACCTCCTCCAGAGCTTCAAGACCCTGAAAACTGCTCTACCCACCAAGGACTGGACAGGAGTCAGAGTCAGTGCACCTTCACATGAGGGGACTGTTGTGAGAGCTGTGAATCAGCTGCAGGAGATGCTCAGTAAACAGATGAAGGAGCTGCTGGAGGTCGAGCTGAAGAGAGTCCAGCAGTCTGCAGTGGATGTGACACTCGATCCCGATACAGCACATCCTAACCTCCTCCTGTCTCATGATGGAAAACAAGTTAAACATGGAGATGTAAAGAAGAATCTCCCCGACAACCCAGAGAGATTTAATCAGTGTGTTATTGTCTTAGGAAAGCAGCGTTTCTCTTCAGGTAGATTTTACTACGAGGTTCAGGTTAAAGGGAAGACTGAGTGGTGGTTAGGAGTGGCGAGAGAGTCCATCAACAGGAAGGGACACGTCTCACGGACTCCCCAGGACGGCTACTGGACCATTCGCTTGGTGAATGAACTGAACGGGTACTTGGCTTGTGATGACCCTCCAGTCGATCTCTCTCTGGAGTCCCGGCCCGGGAAGGTGGGGGTGTTTGTGGATTACGAGGAGGGTCTGGTCTCCTTTTATGACGTTGATGCTGCAGCTCTGATCTACTCCTTTACTGGCTGCTGCTTCACTGAGAAACTCTACCCATACTTCAATCCATGTCTTAATAATTATGGTACAAACTCTGCTCCTCTGATCATCTCTGCTGTCAATCGCAGTAGCTTGTCCTCTCTCTCTGCTTGGACACCTTTCCACAAGTGTTTCGCCTCCAATTGAAGCTCCTGCAAAATGGCGAATTTAAAGAGTGGAGCCCCGGAACACAAACTATAGTAAAAGATTATAGTATAGTATAAATTGTTACATTGATAAAATATGATATATGAAAAAGAAATCTAAATGTTTACAGTTTTTTTCGGATTCAATAATGAAAAGATGGAATGACCGTTCATTATTAATTATTTGGATTAGCCGAGGGTGCAGGTGTGATATATAGCGAAGTGAGTCAGTTGGCAACAGGACGGTAAATGTGTAGGCATATTATATTAATGCATATTGTGTGATTATTATGTAATTAAAGCGTGGAATGTAATGGGAAAAATATATGTAACCCTTCAATGTTGTCTTGTTGTCTATTGTCGTACTGTCTGCTGTCACGCACCAACCGCCACCATCCTTGTATGTCTGACATATTATGGTAATAAATGTTTCCTGATTCCTGATCCTGAAATGTTTCATTGTACAAACAGTTTATAGATTGTAGGTGTAGGAGTTGTGTGGGAAAGCATTGAGCTGAAGTGTCTCACACTGATGAGATGTCTCCAGATGTGTCCAGATGTGTCCAGTCTCCTTTAGGGTAACAACAAGTGGGTTCACATGTGTTGGATGTAAGCGCGTTTCTTTTGGTGCCACCAGTCTGGACTGAGGTATAAGAACTGCTCTGCCTTGTATGTAGAAAAAAGACATATTCTTTTCAGTCTGCTGAGCACGTAGCTGTTGGGACATTTTTTTCCCTTGCAGGCAAATAAACAGAAAGACATATTTGATTCAGAGGTTTTACCTTTCACTCCCTGTTTGGTCTTTGTTCAAGCAGCCAGAGTGGCACAGTCTAATACTTCTCAATACCGACCAAAGACCTCTTCTAGTTTGGTTTTGTTAAAACCTGATGGAGGTTTTCATCTCGGAACTGAGACAAGTGATCTAGCTCGGCTTGTCTGGTCTGCTGTTTGACATGAACAGATAGGAGCCTATAAGCTTAAGCTTGATGGTGTAAAATAAAGGGGCTCCCTCTTAGTCTCTTTTTTCCTTTTGGATCTTTTTTTTTCCACACTTACTGACCCGAACACACGGCTCACTACATTGTGTGTGTGCGTGTGTGTGCGAATGAAGAAGGCGGCTATGAGTTATATGTGTATTTGCTTCATGTGTCCAGAAAAAAAAATCTGTTGAATTAAATTTCCAAAATGGTTGTAGTCCCCCTGCCCAAACCGGTGAGTATTGAAATGCATCCTTGCATCACGTTTTGTTTTCCGATTGTGAACTCTTGAACAGTTATTGATGTACACAGACATCAGATCCAGGACGAGATCTGTGTGAATGTGTGTGTGTGTGTGTGTGTGGGCAAGTAGAGGAGAATTTCTTTTACAGGCAGGTCATTACTGTGGATAGAGATTATCTGCCCCCCTCCCACCACCAACCACTTCCAGCCTCTATCACCCCAGTGGTTTGTGACAGCCGGCGGTGTCAGTCACTTAGTCCCGTGTGTGTGTGTGTGTGTGTGTGTGTGTGAGTGGGATTGTTTGCATTGAGACTGGCTGAGTAAACAGGGCTCAGGTTACCTCTGAAGGCTTTTCCATATTATTCATTCCAAAGTAAATGTCAAAAAATATCACATGGGTGACTGGGGAGTACATTACCTGGTAGCACCAGATCACGTTTGTTTACACGTATAATGAGGGCTCACATTACATGTTGGCATGTGATGAAACGCTGTCCGGCTCCTTTAATGTGTTTGATATGCACTTGAATCATTCCTGTATTTCATATCCAGATCGACAACGACCCATTTGTCCTTCAGTCTTGGAACGAGGGTCAAACCTGCTAACAAACGATCCAGTGAGAAGAAAGTGAACACGAGCTTTGGTGAGACCTGATACGGACAAATCCTTCACTGTATAATCTTTTTCATCTTTTTCCACTGTCTCTATTGACCTGGATTTAACCGCGGTTATTTTAAAAATGTAAAACTTATGGGCCCTATTTTCTGATATTAACTCTACACTCCCTCCATGTTTCTTTGTATAAGTGAAGTTGAACAGCTAAATGAAAAAATAATATGATATGAATGACTATCGGACAACAGTACGAGTCTCTATTACCCCAGCGTGGACGCAGCAGACACCCTGGTGCCCCCGGGCTTATGAGTGTCCCTGGTTTTGGCCCGACGGCATATTTTCCCTCGGGGAGCCTGTGTATGGTTCAAATGCAGCTCCAAAGGTCATCGTTGCACAACCGTACCGACGCTCTGCTGTTCTTATTTCCACTTCTTTTTCTCACGTGCTTCAGGCTGTCCTTCTTATAGACGTTCTTTCCCCGTCTCTCTAGCTGCCCCCCCCCCGCCCACCACCAGTCCGTTGATTTATTCCCTTTCTCTGTTTTCCCTGGACCACATGGCCCGGCGGTTTGCCCCAGCTCCACTCATCCAGAACCGATGTCATTCAGATCCAGTTAAATGAATGGCCCCATAAATGTCCTCCGATAATAAGCGCTGTGCTGCTGGAATGTGTGGCAGCTCGATGGGGACGAGGCGGGTGGAGGGTGAGAAATCCAGTCCAAGCAACCCGAAGAACTAGAGTGGGCACGGATGTTGTGTGGATGAGGAGAACTCGGGGTTGTGTGTGTGGATGGAGTGTGTGTGGGGAGACAGAGACACCAATCGTGTCTGTGTGTGTGTGTCTGCACTTTTCAAGCTTGCATTCCTCGGACTAAAATCTAAATTTGTCTTCTTTCTTTCTTTGCTTGTATGTTCATTTTAAATGTGTAAAAGTGTAAAGAGACACGTCGTTCAGTTGTAGGCAGACATTGGTGCATTTCTCTGACGAAGGACTATTGGCCGAATACGCACGCTTGCAGGGACTAAATAAAGCAGGCGACGGCCCGCATCATCACTTGAACTTTGACCTTTACAATCTAATCCACAAAGCACTTTACGGAGGGTGAGCTGTGCTGTCATTTGTTGATCTTTTTCACTCAGTCACAGTCTGTGTGTTTACCCTCAGCTGATTTATTGGCCATTCATTCCACCACAGTAGCTGGCTGGCAGTGCATGAGAAAAATATCTGACCCCCCACGCCGTTCCGCCTCTATGAGTCTCTGTGGGAAATGGGGAAACTCAATATTATTTCTGCGCTTCACACAACGGGGTCGGATGGTGGCGGTCGCAGCAGCACAGCAGCACTGACGCTGCGCGAGAGACAGACGCATCCCATCAAAGAGCTCCTCCAGTGTCCATCCATCACACATTACCTGTGCAACAAACACACCAGGGACTTTAATCTAAGGAGGGCTGAGTCATCATTTGACCCGGTGGTCCTGCGGGGTGGATGAAGGTGAAGGGTGAGTAGCTACCGCCCCCCCTCACCGCCCCACTACTGACTCCATCCCTCTGCCTGGTCCGGTTATAGGAGCTGTGACTGGCCCACTGTGCAATGCCAGTGACCCGAAACCCATTTACTGCCTTAAATCGTTGGCCCCTGTCTGCCTCCTCCACCTCTCTGCAACGTCACACTGCCACCCTCCTGTCTGTCGCCTCCAGAAGATGACAAATCACCCCTCGGCCCCTCGAATGGGTCTGGGACCATTCGTGGGCCCTTCCCCACAGCCGGCCCAGTCTGCTCACAGAGGGGATTCCTCACGCTTCAATCAGACATGGATCTGAAGTGTTCAGCCATGGATCTGAAAAAATACAGATGAAGCGCGATGTTGCTGGATGTTCAGATATATGAACGTCAGCCCCGGTGGGAAGAAGTGTCCATTTGCGTTTTGTACCTGTGTGTGCGTAAGTCACATCCCTGTTGCGTGCAGCGATCCGTCTGAGTTTGTGTGTTTTCCTGTTTCTCTATATGTTTGTGTACCTGTTGCATGGATGTCCGTGTATGTGTTTGATTACTATATAATCCGTCCTGGGTCCCATGTGAGGCGGTAAATCCATCATTCCGGCTGCGTTTACCTACCACTTCACAGAGCTGTATGTCCAGTGTAAACAACGTTTATCACTGCATGCAAATGAGCCCGTAAGCCGCAAGCCTCCACAAAGACTCCATTCACTCCCGGGCCTGCCGCTTCACCGGCACGTTGAATCCGATACCCCCAGATTACAAGCTTACTCCCGGGCATTGTGCGCTGCTTCGCTGTCACTCACGCTCCACGACGGTGACCTCTGAACGTCATTTTACAAATACCCCAATACCAGTCTGACGAAATGTCATGTTTCAACTTTGACAGGGCCTGCTGCGAACATGAGAGACAAGATTTATGTCCTGTGCCTCCTCTTCTCCTCCCTTTCCACCTTCTATTTCCTGCTCTCGTAACTCCCGTCTCTCTCCCTCGACCCTCCTTTCTTTTTCTCTCTCGCCCCTCCCTGCATCCCTCTCAAGGCGGTGGTGCTATGTGTTGATTGTAGTGATTTCACTGATACATGCATTGTGCTTTCCTGCCCTCGGGGGAAATAAATATCACTGGTTTGATTCACAACACGTTCAGTGTAATGTTTGTGACCCCTGCGGGATTCACGTGTGCGACGCCACATGGAGATGTGAGGATTTTCGGTTTTAAGCCCGTGAAAAAAGCACCGTGGCTGTAGTCTGAACAGCGGCACGTGTTGCTGTAAATTATGACTTCGAGTCGCAGTGGGAGGTATAAAAGATTTATAGGCCACTAATAAGCACTATCTCGTCAGCAGATCACACTGCACAACACTTTGAATGGGTTTGTGTTTGGGCGTGTGGAGGCGTGTTTAACCCACCTTGTGGGGACATAAATGGGACACAGTCCCCTTGTGGGGACTCGCTTTCCTTTTGGGGAAAACATGTGGACAACGTGCCAGTCCCCTCCACGTGAATCACTTTACTTTAGTCTTCGGGAAATAAATGGGAACGTGTGTGTGAGAGAGGGAAAAGGAATTAACCTGGAATTTCGAGTGAAGCTTCACACGCAGTAGAGGATGATTTGACATAATTACTAAAATATGTCAACATCACATGACAAATGCGACTAAGGCTAGACTATTAATTAGTATGTCTGTACTCAGTAGGCAGCTTCTTACGCACAGTTTTGCCGTGTGTCTTGCTAAGCCTTCTTCTGTGTGTGTGTGTGTGTGTGGGGTGGGGGGGTCCGACAGAGGATGGGGTGAGTGTATTTGCTTGCAGCCGCCTTCGGGTCCGCCGAGGTTGATCCAGGTCTTTCCCACTGGAGGGTCTAGTTAACAGTGAGTGTGGTGGGCTGGTGGGTGTCAGCGAGTAGGATTTGGATCGTTCATATGCAAGTATTTGAAAGTATGAATGTAGAAACATTCTAATAACAACATCAATCCAGTCACCTGAGTATTATTTCAGTGTAAAAAGATGTCTAAATATTCCGTGACAACAAAACAAGTTCTGTTTAGCAATAGCACTTTAATTAACCACAGTTACTGTGAAGAAGAAGATGTGGGACTCAATGTGACAATGGTTGTAACAAAACACTATTTCATGCTTGAGATACTTGAGAATTCAGAATCCACTATCTAAATGACAACCGATTAAATGTTTTTAATGTATATGTTTTTTACAAATTATATGTTATGTCAGCTATTATTTGTTATTGTTGACTTCTTTGCTTGAACTTGCATTACCTGTTCTTTGGCCACGTGAAGGAAGCCTGAAGACGTGCTGGGAGGCTCCAGTGTCATCACAGGCAATGTGCAGCTCAAGTGCAGTATAAACATTTTTTTTCAAGCACATCGAAGACATTTTACATGACATCTTTGCAAAGTAATAATTGGGCTTTACTATTGCAACTCTGTGGGTATACTGTACAACGGGGGATGCAGAGATAAGAGAGAGGGACGGTGGTCACTGCGAAGTGCGTCCGTTCCCTTAACATCTGACCGTCCCTCACCACCAGTGCCGGACCAGTCACAGGCTGTATGAACACATCGTACACACTCCCTCCCTCAGGATTCATACGTGCTTCTCAGCAGCAGCTGCAGCCCTATTGTGTTGTGGGTCTAGTGGCGTTTCTGTGGGCGTGTGT